AACCCTAACCCTAACCCTAACCCTAACCCTAACCCTAACCCTAACCCTAACCCTAAGATTCGGGACCAATCGTGGACGAAACCTTACCGCGCTCAGGAAGGCGAGGTCACTAGCCGTGCAGCTCAGAAACTCAACGATGCAGCCCTGACTCGCGTTCACGATCCTCTTTCTGTATTGCCGGATGCCTCAAAAGTTGGTGGTTATGCAAGCTCAAGTGGAAAGCGCTATGATGAGTATATAGTCGCGCATGTTCGGGTGAGCTTCGTCTCTTTCTTTCTGTCCAAGGTCCCACAAGCGCAACAGTTCAGCCCGTATACGACAAAACGATGGTATTCTCAGTCAACGACATACCTGACCTGAAGGGCAAGGTGGCTCTGGTCACTGGCGGCAACGCTGGTGTAGGCTTTGAGACAGTCAAGCAGCTGGCCCGCAAGAATGCAAAGGTCATCCTCGCCGCTCGTTCGCCTATCAAAGCCAAGAAAGCTATCCAGACGATCAAGGATGATTATCCGAATGCTGATGTGGACTTCCAGCTGCTAGATCTCAGCGACTTGACGAGTGTTCACAAGGCGGCGAAGGAAGTGCTCGACAGCTGTGATCGTCTCGATATCCTAGTCAACAACGCGGGCGTCATGGGTCTGCCCTACGAGCTCACCCGGGACGGCCTGGAAGTTCAGATGGGCACCAATGTCATGGGTCACTACCTTCTCACTCTTCTTCTCCTGCCCCTGCTCGTCAAGACAGCTGAGGGCAGTGAGTATAGCAAGACGGGAAGGAGTGTGCGGATTGTCCACCTCGCCAGTCTCGGCCACTGGTTCTCACCTTTCGACGCCTCCTTCAACGATTTCGACGAATTCAACAAGCAGCACTGGCCCGAATGGCTCGCAACGCATCATCGCTACCACAAGTCTAAGGTAGGCAACATGCTTCTCTGCCAAGAGTTTCAAAAGTGTGTTCCTGCGCACGTTGCCATCACCAACCTCTCACTTCACCCTGGGACCGTGGCTACTGATCTCTTGAAGGACCTGGATCGCTCTTATTCGCCACGGCTCGCAAGCACAGTTAGATGGGTCGCAAGCAAGGTTCTGACTCCCGTTGCCCAAGGTGCTCTCACCCAGCTGTATGCTGCAACCAGCCCAGAGGTGGATCGACTCGGCCTCAAGGCCGAATACCTCGCGCCCGTTGGAAAAGTGGCCATGAAGCGCCCTCTTGCAGCCGACAACAGCGGAAAGCTGGGCAAAGGGCTCATGCTTTTCTGCAATGATTATACCAAGGCTCGTCTGGGCGTCGATGCGGAAAAGGTGCTGGGCGAGGCTGGACTGAAATGGCCTTACTGAGCGGCGCGCAGCTCATCAATCATGATCGGTTCGAACCTTCGTGCCTAACTCTTTCCACGTCCTTGATTGCACCCATTCCCCATGGTTAACGAAGTTACTTGTCTGCTTCAGGTGTACATCCATATGCCCTGGTCTGCACACGCGTGTCGGAAGATCCTGTAGCTTGTTCCTGACCTTGAAACAAACGACAGCAGAGCGGCGAGAAGCAGACATGGGATTCACCGCGTCCAGTCGTGCTCTCCGCCATTTGCCAAGTTCTCGTCTTGGCAGACGGAATGGTAGAGCAACATGACCAGGCCGGCCGTTGAGTGTACTCAGGATCCAAACACCCAAGGCGCAAGATGCGTTGAGCGGCAACCAGGTTGGGCACCGCTCTGCTTTGGTTGTCATGCAAGGAAAGGATGGTTGACAGCGTTTGAAAGCAAGCGCTTTGGTTTCGTGAAACATTGTGTGAATGCTCCTTTTGCTCAGAGCTAAGGGTGAAGAGCATTATTACAATCGCAAAGCAGTGCAGAGGTTGAGCGGTGGTAACCACTCCTCGTCTGGTCCGAAGATGGTTTCGCATAAATGCTTCTGTCTGACTCCCGAAAATGTGGAGCAGATACCGGGATTTGCACTTTGGCTGATTCCGATGCAGCCGAGATTCTGAAACCGCGGCTGCACGGGCCTCGTGGACTTCTCCCTGGCACTAAAGCGAGAGAAGCGACGTCACTGGGGAAACCTTGGCTTGGGCCTGTGTGGAGTCGGAAGCTTAAATCTTCGAGAACGGCAACTGATGGTCGCCACCAACCAGTGAGGGCCATAGAGAATGCTACGCCGTCGGCCTGGTCATTCAGCCTAATCTCTTTTCTCATAAGACCACTACACCTTGATCCGTTGAGTCGCTTCAGTATCACTCGAATTCCGACAACCTATCTCCCTCACTTGATCGCGCAGCATGTCCAAGGTATCTGACTCTGCACGCCCATGGGCCTTGATCACGGGCGCTTCCGAAGGCCTTGGCAAAGAATTCGCTCTCCAGCTGGCCGAACGCGAGACGCACAACCTGATTTTGGCCGCACGTAGCGTGGACAAGCTGGATGCGGTGTCCAAAACAGTCTCGGAACGTGTCAAGTGCAAGGTGATCAAGAGCGATCTCTCCGTCAAGGGAGCTGCAGAGGCATTGGATCGGGACACTCGTGATCTGCATGTAGCCATCTTGATCAACAATGCCGGTGTTGCATTCGGCGGTCCCTTTGAGGACATGCCCTACGAGGATGTTCAGACTCTGGTCTCGCTCAATGTAGTTGCAGTCACAGAGCTTTTCCACATCTTCCTGCGACGCATCAAAGAGCAACACGAGAAGCTCAGCGAACAGCAGAAGGCATCCAAGTACGCTCTGGCCGGTATCATCAACATCTCTTCCATGTCCGCTTTCATGCCGATCCCTTCCATGGCGCTCTATGCCGCTTCCAAGGCCTTTGTGCTATCGCTGACCGAAAGCGCATACGCGGAACAGCGCACCGAAGGAAGTGACCTGCGCATCGTGGTCAGCTGCCCCGGCACGACCAAGACCGAGATCTGGACCAAAGGTGGAGCCCACGAGAAGTCGGTCCTGATGCCGATGGGAACCAAGGAGCACGTTTGTGCCACCACGTTGGCGGCGTTGGATGCTCGCGACAAGCCGATCATCATTCCGGGCTACTTCAACAACATTTCGGCCTTCAGCTTGCGTCTTGCGCCCCGCAACCTCGTTCGCTTCCTCTCGAGACGCCTCATGGGACAGGACCCTTCGTTGCGAGACCCCGACGAAGTCAAGGAGACCTTCTCCAAGCTGGGCCGTACTGCTCCCCCTCGTCGTTCGTAATACAAGCCTTGGACGCAACAATACAACCCTCAGCTTCGCTGGATCACACATTCTGTACATACCACGCTCAATTCCCTTTTCCACAGGAAACGCTTCCAGATGGGTAACATGGCGAACCGAAAAGACTTTCATATTGAGTTTTGCGGCGGCGACGACCAGTGCAGGTCCAACAGGGAGGGATTCGGCTTTGCTACATTCTGAGAAGACAGCCTCAGGGCTGGTGAGGAAGGAATGGTGGTAGATCGAATGCAGCGAGACGTGCGGGCGGGTGCGATGAGCTATGTCAAGCAAAACACTCCCCTTTCTCGCCACTGATCCAATTCTGAATCCTCTCGCAGTGGTAGTGGGGGACCCTGATAGGTGGATTCTTGGGCGAATTGGGTGTCCATGTGAAAGTGATACAGCTGTAGTACTTGCCACCGGCGTTAAGGCAATTGTGAGCGCTCATCGGCCATTTGATGCTCTGGCGAGCTCGACAGTCGCCTATGTCGCGCTGCTGGCGGCCTTCGTTGCCACAAATATTCTGTGCGCGCTCGGTGAGAAGACTGGGTGCCTCAGCGTCGCCAGTGTTTTTCGAACCATTTGACAAGGTCAGACGGTCCCCTACCAACAGGATTGTCATGTCGGAATCCGGATTCCAGGTAAAAGAAACATCTTCGACCATCGTCAGCTCGCTGCAGCTGGTGTAGTCGTCCTGGTGCGACACGAAGCCTTTCAAACACTTGGAAGAGCTCTTGAGAACTTCCCAGAGGTCCGCGCCTTGAGAGTACAGCGCCTGTGCAGTAGCTGTCAGGACCGCTAGAGTAGCCAGCAAAAACAAGCAGAATGTGAGCATCGTAATGTCTGATCGTGGTGAGGTAGTTGTATGGGATCTCTCCGGATAGGCCACGCTGTAATGCTTGGATCAAATGTGTCCGGTCCTCCACACCCGTACCAGGGATGTAGTATGGATGAGTTGCGATGTTCGCGCCGGCTATGGGTAGTGGCCGACCCATGTCTGGCTTCAGTTATATCTGCGCAGGGTGTCAGAGGCACCCAAGACAGGACTCTGCTTGGACGGCACCTTTGCGAGTTACAGTGCTGGTCAAGAGTGTTGGTTGAGGGTCAGGACCCTCGCAAGGTATGGTATAGGAAGCGAGGACCGATTGAGCAAAGATTCAGGATTTCCGAAGACTACCTCTTAGAAGACGAGTATCAGTATATGGAAAGATCAAGACCTTCGCAGATTGTGGTAGAGAAGGCGAAAATTAGTTGAGCAAAGATTCAGGATCTCCGAAGACTACGTTCTAGAAGACGGGTGTCGGTTCAACAAAGGGTCAGGATCTGTGCAGATTGGGGCAACAGAGGCAAAGAGCGATTGTGCAGACATTCAAGATACCCGAACACTTTGTTGCAGAAGACAAATCTGGCTCTGGCAAAGGCCTAAGAGCTGAGCAGACTATGTTGTGGGGAGACGGAGCTCGGTGTGCCAGACCCTTTAGTTGAAAAAGATAGGCGCAAAGCGTGATTCCACGATTCTGCACATACTTTTGCGACGTCTTTGCCCAGGAAGTGTATTAAGCTCACGAGTCAATGCGCAGACAGCTTAAAGCCTCTTTGGTGGGTCAGGATCAACCTTCGAATGTCGATTTTGGAGTTATGATGTCGACGAGCGCTAAAGCCATGCACCGGCTATTTCCAATTTCGCTTTTGACGGTCGAAAGAAATTCTGAGCCGAGCCGTGCGCTGTTTCCCCAGCAACCCCGCAAATTTCCACAAGTTGGGCCAGAGAAGTCGCGTGGGGCTTGAAGCACGCAGCACGGGTCCGGCGAGACGAGACGTCAAACACCACACCAACCGCTTCTGCTTTGCTCTTTCCCCTTCGATCATCATCGCAGTCGATCATCATTTGAAGATCAAACATTTATCTCGGCCTTTGCGGACCGTACCGCAGCACACACCAGATTACGACATGCTGGCAAGGCCAACGATCCATCGAATCGCCTCGGGCGCTGCTCGTCAAGCCCACAACAACCTTAATCACGGCACGAGAACTTACCGTGCAGCGTCTCATTCCCTCTTTCAGGAGCAGCAGAGTGTACTACCCAACAATTTGGATCCATCCTCGGACGATTTCTTGGCCAACAAGACCTACATGGACGGCCTCGTGAACAAACTCGATGCGACGCATGCAAAGCTGGCTTTAGGCGGCAGCGAAAAGGCGAGAGCACGACACGTCTCTCGTGGAAAGATGCTTGCTCGCGACCGTGTTACTGCTCTGCTCGATCACGGCTCACCCTTCGTCGAGCTTTCACCTATGGCTGCGTACGAGATGTATGGCAACGACGAGATTCCCGGCGCTGGAATGATCTCAGGTATCGGGCGCGTTTCGGGCACAGAGTGCATGATTGTCGCCAACGACCCCACCGTCAAGGGCGGAAGCTACTATCCCATCTCGGTCAAGAAGCATCTTCGAGCCCAAGCTATTGCGCGCGAGAATCGATTGCCATGCGTCTACCTCAACGAGAGCGGTGGAGCGGCGTTGCCTCATCAGGCAGACGTGTTCCCCGACGAGAACCACTTTGGTCGCATCTTTTACAATATGGCCCAGATGTCGGCGCTCGGCATCCCGCAGATCTCGGTGGTACACGGCATCAGTGTAGCCGGCGGCGCCTATGTACCAGCCATGGCCGACGAGACGATCATTGTGCGCAATCAGGGCACCATCTTCCTCGCTGGTCCTCCGCTCGTCAAGGCAGCTCTCGGAGAGGTGGTCGACGACGAGACGCTTGGCGGAGGAGAGATGCACTGTAGCGAGTCCGGTGTCACTGATCATCTCGCCGTGGACGATGCACACGCTATCGCTCTGGCACGAGAGGCGGTGGCCAACCTTGGTCTGTGTGGTCGCTCGAACGCCGCCCTTGGCGAAACGTCGTTCGAGCAGCCCTTGTACGACGCCTCGGAGCTGCACGGCATCATTCCCGAGAATGCTCGAAAGCCTTTCGACATTCGCGAAATCATCTCTCGTCTGGTGGATGGATCGCGCTTCCACGAATTCAAGAAGCTGTACGGTAACACCATTGTTACGGGCTTCGCCAAGATCGCAGGACAGGATGTGGGCATCATTGGCAACAACGGAGTCCTGTTTGGAGAGTCGGCCAAGAAGGCGACGAGCTTCATTCAGCTATGCAACCAGCGTCAGACGCCGCTCGTATTCCTGGTCAATGTGACCGGCTACATGGTCGGCACTAAAGCCGAACGCTCCGGCATCGCCAAGGACGGCGCCAAGATGGTGCGAGCGGTGGCCTGCGCCAACGTGCCCAAGTTTACTGTTATTGTGGGTGGCAGTTTCGGTGCAGGCAACTACGGCATGTGTGGACGAGCGTACAGTCCTCGCTTCCTGTGGATGTGGCCTAACGCACGCGTTGGTGTGATGGGCGGAGAGCAGCTGAGCCAGGTCATGGGTACGGTGAGCAGCGACAAGTCCAAGCAAGAGGGTCTGCGCGACAAGATCGAGAAGCAGACGCTGCCCGAGTACGCCAGTGCTCGACTCTGGGACGACGGCATCATCCGGCCGCAAGATACCCGCAGCGTATTGGCGTTGGGCCTGAGCGTGGCCAACACGGGACGATGGAGGAGCTCGCAGCGTGGCGACGCAGGTGGCTCTCGTCATCCTGCATGGGACGGCAACAACTACGGAGACGGCGTCTACCGGTAAGTGACAATGCTGAGACCTCTGTTCTGATGTGCTAGCGACTGACCGATCTGCTTTCACCCTCTTCTTGATGGACACCTCAACAGAATGTAAAAGCATATGACCTGCCATACAGCGACATTTGTCCGATCATGGAAAGATACAAACTCCTCCGGTAGAGAACGCCGTGTGCTGCTGTGTCGAAAAGACGATGAATTTCACGACTGTCTGTGACGCGAGTCTAACAACATTTTACTGAGCTTTTTACGCGTCGCGCGATGAGCGGCTGACCCGAAGGGGCGATTTTGAACTTTCGAGAGAGAAAGAGCGTGTTGGACTCGGCTTTGCCGACGTTGCAGTTGGCCTCTGGAAGCCTCCCTTCAACAACGGCAACCACCAACTTCCATCACCGCCACGCTCGTCTACACCTTTTTCGTGGCGAAGGTCATAAAGAGACTTCCGGTCTCGCACTTCGTCGACATGGCGGAACCGAGCATGCTGGACGCCAACGGTCTCCTCGACCTCGACATGCCCGCCAACAGCTCTCTCCTCTCGCAGGCAAAGGCTGACGAGCTCTTCCCAGGCGCAGTCGATCCCTTCCGCGAGAGAGACCTCAACATCTTCAGTCCCGCCGGCTCGCAGAGCGAAGCTCAGAAGGCGCTCAATGCCTGGGGCTCGCAAGGCTCTGCAAAGCTCCATCTTGGCGCAAGCACGCGAAGCCCAGAACGAGGTGATGCCATGGACTTTGACGCCGAGATCGATATCAACCAGCTTCTCGATGAGGAAATGTATATCATGCAGGACGACAGTGCTCAACAATCGCGGACTCAAGTGAGGCCGAATCAGGTGGCGCAGATGGAACATGACGACGACGAGCTCGAAGCTTTCCTGCTCGCCGAAGACGAGCACACAGCATCACACGCTGCTGAGCTTGGACAGGCTCCCGCCTCGCAGCGCTTCCCCTCTCCCCCGCCTGACACGATCTCATCTCGAGCCGCTTCGTCCGTTTCTGATCTCCTGGAAAGCAACGGTCTGCTCGGCAGCTCTTCTCTGCCTAGCTCCCAGCAATCCGTGCCTCCAGCGCCAAAGTCACAGGCGTTGACAGCAGATCCGTTCCTAACATCAGCTCAACCTTCTTCTAGAGCAATTGAAGCGCTCTCGACGTTCGCAGTGCATGCTGAAGGGCCAAGCACACCCTCTGCATCTGCCTTTACCACACACGATGCTGGAGCTGGGCCATCGCGATTACCGCCGCGCTTACAGCCGGCAGGCATTCCCAAGTACATTCCTGCTGGTTTTGTCAATGCCACCACGATGGACGGCACACCAATCCGCTTCGAGCGCCGCAAACGCATGAAGGGCTGGAAGCAGCCGGCCATCATGTCGGATGTCGATGCTTCGCAGCTATTGGAGCGTCCCATACACCAGTTGCTCGATGCTGTGGCAGCATTGAAGGCACTCGATGTCGTCGAACGCGGCGAGCAGCACCAAGACCAGGCTCGACGCTCGCCAGACGGTGACGCAGCTAACGCATCCAAGTCTGTGTCACAACTGTGGGTGGACAAGCATCGGCCGGCCAAATTCACCGAGCTTCTCGGAGACGAACGCGTCCATCGTGAGGTGCTAGGCTGGCTCAAGGAATGGGACGAGTGCGTCTTCAAACGTAAGAACCATCGTAAGGAGCGTCATCGACAGTACATCCAGGCAAAGTACGGCTACACTGACAACGGTGCCGGTGACAAGGGCGCAGAGCATATTTGGAAAGATCCCTACGGTCGTCCCAAAGAGCGCATCATGATGATCTCGGGGCCACCGGGATTGGGAAAGACGACGCTCGCCCACGTCATCGGTGCCCATGCTGGATACAATGTTTACGAGCTCAATGCCAGCGATGCACGCACAGCTGGAGCCGTCGAAGATGTCATCAAGATGGCGCTCGAATCTGGTAGTCTCAAAGACCCCAGACCGACGCTCGTGGTCATCGACGAGATCGACGGTGCCACGGGAGGAGGCGGGGGAGCGACAGGTGAATCCCACGGCTTTGTCCGTGCACTTGTGCGGCTCGTCGAGATGGGTAAAGGTGCTGGGCCCAAGGCGGCTGGTTTGGCAGCGCGTGGCAAGAAGCAGCGTAAAGGATTCAAGCCACTTCTTCGGCCCATCATCTGCATCTGCAACGACCTCTACGCCCCTTCGCTCCGACCATTGCGGCCCATGTCGAAGCTGGTCCGCTTCAACAAGCCGCCCACCAACCTTGTGGTCAAGCGTCTGCGCGAAGTCTGCGAGGCCGAAGCGCTTTCCGTGGAAGCCCGAGGCCTGTCTCTGCTAGCAGAGCTGACCAATGGCGACATCCGTTCGTGCCTTAATGCGTTGGAGTTCGCAAAGACCAAGAACATCGCCCTCACTGAAGCCGCCGTCAAGAGCGCCTCGATCGGCATCAAGGACACGGGCGGCACCGTTCACAAAGCCTGGGAGATGCTCTTCCGGCGTCAGAATCGCAAGCAAGCTGCAGCGTCGAGCATGAAAGGTGCCAACGCCAAAGCTACAGATGCGGATGCCTCGCCATGGAACTCGTCGCGCAAGGCATCCTCCAATGAATTGACCTCTGACGGAAGAGAAAAGCAAAAGGAGTTCAATCTCATCGACACGCCTCAGGAGAACGTCAACCGCATCATCCACGAGGTCGCCAGCTGCAACGAGTACGACAAGCTGGCCCAGGGTTGCTTTGAGCATTACCCTACGCTTCGTGCCGCTGACGGTGGCTGGAAGCGGTATCGCCAGGTGCACGACTGGCTACATTTTGGACAGAGCATCACATCGCGTGCGTGGTCGCAGGGCAACTTCGAACTTCTCGGCTTCATGCCTTGGTCGTTTGTCTGTTGGCATCTTCTCTTCGCCCACGTGGGAAACGCGCTGCCAGAGTATCCCAAGGTCGATTACGAGAATCATCTCAAGACGTCTGCCTTCAACGAGATTGCCTCTCAGATCGTCGGCACCCTTCCCGCAAATGTCCGCTCGCAGTTCAATCGACACTCTGTCATTACCGAGCTCGGCCCGTCACTCATGCGAATCCTGACTCCGGATCTTCGACCTATCAACAACCAGCTGTCACGGGCAGAAGACAAGCAGGCTTTTGCTTCGCTCGTGTCCATCATGACTTCGCTCAACGTCAGGTTCGTTCAGGACAAGATCTCGGAGGAGGAGGCTGCAGCCACGGGTCAGACGGCAGGACAGCTGGTGTACAAGCTCGATCCGCCGCTCGACATCTTCACGCAGTTCGAGGGGAAACGGTCCAAGGAGATTGGGCCGTCTCGCTTTGCCGTGCGACAGCTTGTGGCTAGGGAGATGGAACGCCAGCTGCTGCGTAGGAACACGGGTGTCGAAGGCGACGAAGACGATGCAGGTTCCACCTCCAAATCAGCTACGGCCATCTATCGATCCAAGAGCGCCAACGTGGATGCTGCACGGGACGCATTGAAAGCCAAGAAGGAGAAGATGGCTGTCGACTTTTTTGGTCGACCCATTGTGCAGAAGAGCGCCTCGGTGCCTGCAGGGCTCTCCGCGGTACCTATTCCAGAGGGTATGGGCGGTCAAAAGCGAAAGGCGTCGGAAGGCCGATCCTCCAGCGCTCGTGACCTGACGCCGAGCGACGCATCGGCGTACACAGCAGCGAAACCCGTCGCTGGCGACGACAAGATCAAGGTGTTCTACAGATACCACGAAGGATTCTCCAACGCGGTACGCAGACCCATGAAGATCTCTTCGCTGCTTTAGATCAGACGATCCCGATGATTCAGCCCGCGCTTGGTCGAGTTCACCTGTCCGTTGTCAGCTGCTGCCGCTTGTTCCTTTCGCAATCTCATCGAGGTTGTTCCCATCCATCATCTTTCGGAAGGCTGTGCATGCATATATGAAACTGAAATTGTTGGTACAAGGTGTAAATGCTAATTGAAATGGTACTCTGTCTGATCCGCCGACTGTGTGTTTGATGGCGTGTGGCCATCACTTGTCCTTGTCACGGCCAAAAGTGAGTCCGTAGCCAATGACGCGGTCGCTGCTCTCGAGGCAAGGCCAGCTCTGGCCTTTGCGCTGCTTGGTGAGGACGAGGTCTACTTTGAACTTGGTGATATTGAACGATGAATCGGTAGGGACGATGGGTGCAAAGGGCTTAAGCATCTTCTTGAAGCGGCGTCCGCGGGCAGAGCCGCTCGCTGGAGGCAGGAGCAGCGAAAAGACGACGCTATCCTCGTTGAACTCGATCGAGCTGTTGGCGGCATCCACGGCTTTTGCATAGACGGTGAGACGAATGTCGTTGGGCGTCTCGTAGTGGTCCATCCTGCAGTCTACGCTCTCCTCGCCGTCGAGCTCGCCGTCAGCAGCAGCCTTGGGTGCGCCGACAAAGAGATGACCAGACTTTGCGGTGGTGCATGGCTCGATCTGCAAGAAGTCGTTGAAATCGAGCACCCTGCGCTTGCAACACGACCAGCCCTTGGAGCCCTCGTGAAAGATGGGCGAGCCCTTGTGGTGCTTGCACGTCTCACTTGATCGATCGCGAGCGCCGCCTTGGTGCTTGTACCCGCAGCCTCCACGTTTGCAGGCGAGGCCGGCCGGAAGCGTAGCGTCAGTCTCTACTGGATCTTGCTCCTCCACGGGCTCTTCTTTGGCTTGTGCCTGACTGGTGGCGTCAGTGGCCGACTGAGCTGCTTTCGCATTCTGTGCGGCGAGCAGAGACATGCCAGAGAGCGGCTGCACTATGTCGGATGTACTTGAGGTCTTGCCGAACGTCTCCTTGCCGTCAGCGTCTTTTGATACCGTCAATGCATCGACAGGCGCTGACGAAGCATCATCCTCCGAGACGACGGCACCGTTTTTGATGGTGGGCAAGGCCTGCTTCTGGGTCGAGTGAGAGTCGGCGATGCTGCAGCCTTTGATAGCAAGGAACTGATCGAATTCCATGACGGGCTTGTTGGTCTCCTTGCAACACGACCAGGATTTGAGGCCTTCGTGAAAGACGGGAGCGCCAGGATGGTAGCTGCATGATGCTGTGCTTGAGGAGGAAGATGCCGGGTCAAAGTCGACGCCGCAGCCGCGACGAGTGCAGATAACCATGTCGTCTGAGTCTGTCGGCGAGGCTCTAGAGGTATCCCAGTGGTTGGTGGGATCGCTGAAGCTGGAATTCGTTGATGTCGGACGATCCTTCTGAGAGTCGGCAATCCTTGGCGTCTGGTACAGAGTGAGTCTCTTTTAGCCGTTTCGGCATTCTCGCCTTTCTTCGAAAATTGTGGAAGCCTCGAGATAAGATGATCGCCGATGGAGGCTGAGATGCTTCTATGATCGGCGATTTGATTGAAAATTACAGGGAAAACTAGAGACGCGTCTGCCGTTGAACGGTTCAAGTCTGACGCGAGCTGTCAAGAGCGGTGCCGTCGCTGGACCCTCTTTGGCGCTCGGACAACAAGCCGAAGCCGAGGCGGCAAACCGCTCGAGGGACCAAGGAACAAGGACGTGATAGCGCAGGCGTCAAATTGTAGCTCGAGTTACTGGAAGCGAGCGTCGGAGTCGGAGATTATCGTGATGCCCACGATAGGCGTCGATCGTCGGATTGCGAAACCGTGATGGTGTCCTATTGCTCGTCGCTTTCAACGTCGGCTACGAGTGCCAAGATAGGATGCAAGCTTCGAAAAACGACGATTCAGAGCGCTTGCCTATGTGGTAGAATCAGGGTCCACATCAAGCCTCTAATTCACGCAGCGTGTCTCGGTTGCGCGAGCTGCACGGCACAGGTCGACATAGCCGCAGGCTTCCGCAGCTCGAAAGCGTTTCTTCAGGCTCGGTGCCAGGGGGCTCCACAATCAAGCGCATACAGAACAGCTTCTGCACTCTCGGGCCAGCAGATGGAGAGACGAGAGAAGCGTGGGACGATGTGGCGTCTCGTCCTTGGCAACGGGTGGAGACTGCGCCCCGTGTTGATTGTCGGCTACAAAGGCAGTTGCAGTCTACTGCAGACAAGGCACGCAATCATGCTCCAGGTTGCGAGTGTGTTGGCTGGCAAGAGGTCGTCGTGGCTTGGGTCAGCTGCATGCTGTACGTGGTGAGCACCCCGCCCACACGCGAACGCAGACAGGAGCCTCTGACGATTCTGATATGTTGCGATGAGCCCCGAGCCCGCATGGAGCGCAAGAAGGCACCCGGAACGGATTTGCTTTCGATACCACGATAGACAGTTGGTGGTGGTTGGATCGCGTGGGACGAAGATACTATACCAGCCGGAAACGTGTCTGAGCTGATGATAAGTCTCCGACGCAGGGTGTTGACGGTCGTTCGCTCCAGCGCCAGAGCCTGCTATCGCTGCACTGAGTCTGAGCTGGCTGATGTTGTTCCTGTAAGCTTGTCGTCCTGAACGAGAGAGAGAGCGCCACGTTCTCAAACCGAATCGTGTTGTGATTTGCACAGAAGAAAAATATGAAGTAAATTAGATAAATTTCCGACTTGTTCAGTGCAAGCGTGTTGCTGTTGCGACTCGCTACGAAACCGATGCTCTGAGACCAACACCTGCAAAGACGCGTGTTGATCTGCACGCCGCGCATCATAGCACTCGAACTGCAGAATTGTCGGAGTTGCCGTGGAAAAAAAGAAAAAGAAAAAAGCACTCCTTCCATGAGGACCGTGTGAGAGATGGCTACATGTTCGATGTTGCGTGACGGTGATCTCGGGGGCCCTGTTCCGATCGCCGTAAGGAGCTCGGGCCGGGATACACTCAGATCGCAGCCCGACAGACCTGTGCGTCGATGCCGACCTCTGACACTATTAGATAGGCAGGTGCGAGAGGAGATGACAGTGATGCACTTGGCAGACTAGACTGAACCTTCCAGTCCGCTTGGTGCTTGACCACTCCAGAATTCCGAGCGCTTTCATGCGAAATCGTGGAGCTATGACTTGCAGCTTTTCACTCCCGTATAGTGCCTGGCAGGCAGGCAAGCAGGCAGGCAAGTAAGCAAGATGGCTGTCGCTCGAGCCTTCTTGCGATGTCTCTTGACTTCCAAGACTTGCACAGGGGGCGCGAGCTTTGTTTCCCCACTCGTTGAAGCATCCGTGTCGCAGGGGAGCAGCCACAGGACCCTGTCTCCTGAGCATTGTGGCGTCTTTTGCCCCTGAGACTCTTGCCATTTGTTTTCCCCATTGGGCATTGTTGCATTGTCATTCGAGAGAGGTCAACAGATCACCTTAGGTTCTTTTTTCTTGTTAACTTTTTTCTTTTTTATTTCTGCTTTTTGGCATGCACGCCAGAGAGGAAATTTTATCTTCTGAAAGGTTGTGAGAACAACACTTTTCTCCTTCGGCACGTCCGCTCCCTGACGGAAGGTGTGAGTTGCAGAAGCATTGCGAGTGGTCGGCGCCGCTTCTCCTGGATAACGACACCTTCGCTTGCACGTACCACGGCTGCTAAGAGTTGGTCACGGTCACTTTATGTCTCCCTTGCACAAAATCACAGCGCCCATCGCTTCTTTCACATCGACTCCAGTCAGTTGATCGCGACGCAACTCAGCACACACCAATCCGCCTGCTGCCATCACTGTTCGAGCTCCTCGGATCTACGACACCACACCACCACCCTCATCCTCATTAGCATCCTCGTCGTCATCTCATCAGCGCGAATTGCCATCGGACAGACACTGTTCGACGAGCAAGGTTGCTGTTTACACCGCATCTGTCGCTGTCGCTGTCGCATGACAGCCTGACGATACTTGTCGTTCACTCTTCAGGTACCGCATACACCCAGCGCAAGGCTTCTACCATCGTCTCTGATGCATCCGCGCCTCTAGCTTGCGTAGCTGTGCAACGTCCATCTCAACGAGATGATGCACGCCAGTGGTCGTCCCGCAACTCGGCCGCGACCTCCAGCTCGACGCAAATCATCTCAGTCACCTCAGCCTTTGGACGTCAGTGCTCAAGCTCATATCAAGGCCCATGATGTTGCTCCATTTCCCCGCTCAGCACTGTCCGATGTCACCAACTCCGCGTCCACAGACACTGCGCATACAGTCACAGCGGAAGACCATGTCGCTGCCATCACTCAACACGGTGAGGGTGCCGAAAGTCATCGATGCAACTCCCAAACGCTCTCGCCATCATCTAGCGCCAGCGAGCTCGACCATGCTCGTCTTGAGGGTCTTGAGCGCCACGAGCTCGAGCAAATGCTGATCGAAGCAAGTCGCAAGATGCGCGAGAGGGAGGCCAAATTGGTCTTCGCGGCCAGCATTGGCAAAGCGTTGCTCGAAAAGAACATGTCGCTTCGGAGCGGTATCGAGACAAGCATAGCTTCCAGCTCCAGCCTCTATGGTCTGTCTGATATCGAATCCATCATTCATGACTTTTCGACTCATCAACGTGCATCTTCCCAGAACACTTTCGACGGTGCCGCCCGTCACAGAGAATCCTCTTCGCCTCGACCCATGTACTCGCCTCCCACCACCGACGTCGACGTCCACTCTCTTCCCGATCTTTCGCCATCCAGAGCCGCGTCAGATACCACACCACTCGCTCACCCCACTCCTCTTCCCGCCATCGAGTCCGACTACTTCAGCAGACCATCTCACCAGGCAAAAACTCGATTCGACGCCAACGCAGCCTTTGCCGCAGAAACCTCGACTACATACAACGACAGGTCCATCTGGATCCCCAGTGACGCCGGCCTCATAGCATCCCAACCTTGCTCTCCCAGCGCTTCCATCTCCAGCTACGCTTCTCACGCCCTCCTTTCGCCTCAAGACGCAGAATGGCGCATCCCTTCGAGCAGAGTTACCCCCGGAAGCCGCCACAGATCGCGCCCTTCACTCCTGCAGATCCAAGCATTGGAAGCGCAGAGGCAGCTTGCGTCCCTTGGCGAACAGAACGATGTCCTGCATCAGCAAATCTCTGAGCTCCAGCACGAAGCCGAAAACGCTCGTTTCGAAGGGAGCAAAAGGCTCAGCCGACTCAATCGGGAGCTCCGTGGGCTCAAAGCGGAGCTCGAGGCCGCAACTCGCCGCAATGTCGAGCTCGAATCCGATCGATCCGTCCCACGCCCGTCTCCAGTCACGAGATCCCCGGCGAAGGGCATTGCTGTCGGAAGCCGTCATCCTCATTCCCATCTGACCTTTCGCAAGGCATCCTGTCAAGAATCAGCTCTGTCGTCTCCTGCATCTTCGAAATCGACAGGAGAGCCCGAGCCAGCTCGACTTCGTCATGGTCTCATTCCGTCCACATCCAAGCTCGAGGACATGGTACGCTCTGTACATGCCGCAGATGGCGAAAGCGCACTCCTTGCCCAACTACTCGCCAAGATCAGGGAGCTCGAGGAAACTAACTCTGCCATGGCCAAAGCAGAGGAGGACTTTGGCAGCAGAATGGGGCGAGCGATGCAGGAAGACGAGCGACTTCGCGACGCCTTCAACACGGTGGGTCAAGATCTCGCTGTTACCACCGCAGAAACCGTTGCCGAGACGAGCCCGGAAAAGATGCAAAAGGCTTCCGAGCTGGCCTTGATCACACCATCCCATTCCCTACAGAGTCTCGACTCGATTGCCTCCGCTGAAGTGGGTAGCCCTTCGTCACCTTTGTCACCGAGCCAAAGGCGCAGGGCGCCAGGGAATCGTCATGTCATTGAACAGCGCAAGACCGTCCGCAGCGCTTTGCGTCGTGCCAAGAAGGAGCTAGCTGCTGACATCTGGGGTTTCAAAGGCGAATCAGCTCACGTCACTCCAGATATTTCGCGTTCATCCACCGAGGCATCACTTGGCACTTATTCCGTCGATCTGAGCGCAAGCAGCAGCGCCTCCTCGTCGCCGCAACCCGCACGTATCAACAGGAAGGCTTCCTCCAGCTCACTAGCGCTTGGTATTGCCGTGAGACCTCGCATTCGCATTACCCCGTCCATCGAAGACCTTGGTCAAAGGAGGAAGACGCACGAGCAGATCGTAGCCGGTCCAGAGCAGGAATGCCCATCTTCGCCTGGAGATTGGCAGGATGTCACGAGCCCAACGCTACCCAACGCACCTCAAACCTCATCCCTCAGCCCAAGAGATGCCATGAAAGCCTCCTTCGCGCACTTGAAGGTCGGGCCTCGACTTGGCCGAGCACATCATGGCGGTCCGAACAGAGAGATGGACAAAAGCAATCGACTAGCCGACGCAGCGCCGACGTCATCGCCTTCGCTCTTCCAGCAAACCGCATTCCGGCCCACCGCCCGCGTTCGCAGATCTAGATCGAGGTCATCCTCCTTCGGCTCACACTTTCAAGTTAGGCAAACGCCCGTGTCTGTTCAACAGAGTCCCGATCCCTTCGCAAGCCCTTCTCCCGCTTGGCACCGACCCGGCTTGGCTCGCAGTCCTTCGTCTAACTCTTCGCACCGTGGCAGGACATTGGGAAGCGAGCTCGGCAGCATCTTTGGTGGTGATGACCGCAAGCACGACTTTGACGATGATCTCCCGCAGCACCGCAGGCTCGTGGCGAATCAGACAGATTCTAACCTGAACATGCGATCTCTGGTGCTGCATCGTGCCGGCAGCATGTCAGCGCTTGATTTGCGATCCAACGTCAAGAATGCTGTCGTCTCGGATCGTCCCACTGCCAATGTCGGTCGATTAGTCCCACAGAGCGACGAGGAGCAACACGACGATCTCGAATGCGTATTGACTCAACCTGTGTATGGTCAGATCGAGGACGATTTTTCACAAGAGTCTCCCCTTCGCCCGCGCGACGCAGCGCTACTTGTCCGTATCGAGGCCGAGGAGGATGGCATGTGGCTGGCCGATCAACCCATCATCGAATCTGGTGGCCTTCCAGACAAAGACGAGCCTCGAAGCGCTCAATTCGACCTCATCAATGCGGCTGTTGAGCATCAAGCGGTAGCATGGGCAGATGACGACGACTACGGTCGCACCATCAGCCAGCGCGAGGCCGTCAAGCTTGGGCTGCTCGCATACAAGTCATCGGTCTGGGCAGCCCGCAGCATGCGAACGCTCACAGCAAGATCGAAGTCAGATCGCACAAATGCCGACCTCGCCAAAGCCTCGAATGTGGCAGGAGTCAAGAAGCTGCCCTTTCGACTCGAAATTGAATCGTCGGAGCAAGTGGAGGATCGTCTTCGGATCGAGTCGATACTACGCAGAAGACGGCAAGAATTGCTGCATGAACGTGGATTTGTAGACGATTGGGAGGACGAAGCCGACGTTCAGAAGCAAGAAGCTGAGCTCGTCGCCACGTATGCGCCGAGCCCACAGCGGTTGCAAGAAAGGAGGTTGAAAGCTTTGGCCGGGCACGATTCGTCCCTCTCGCCAGGAAAGTCGTCTCCTACGAAATCGGATCCTCGCCGTTCCACACAACAGTGGGTGCGCGATCTCGTGCATACCTCGCCCTCGAGAAGAGGTGGCCACAACAACGAGGACGAGGAACAAGACATGCTCAGTCTCAACTACGTTGGAACAGAGGAAGCCGATTTTGAACTGCTCGACTGCCCCTCTTGGAAGAGGCAAGGCGGGCGTGGCACCGACTACTTTCCCACCTCATTCCGCGCACGCTACCGTCCCGCCATGGTCAAGCAGAGAGTCGCCCACGCATCGCAGGTCACCCTCGGGTGGGTCGAGGAGTGGGTGCAATTTGCATTTGTTGTCTTCCTCGCCTTTGTCGTGATGGTCGAACAAGGTCCGGATCGCGGCGCAAGACGTGGCAGGAGAGCTACCAATACCCCTCAACTTCTTCTCAACAAGTCAGAATGAGGCCGTCCACTCGCATCCCAACCCGTTCCCTCCCACCACATTCCTTGACGGATTTGCAAGCTCGCGTTCAGAATGATACCCAGTACATTTAGTCACACAGCTCACACAGCTCTATACACACTCTTCACATCGATGCCGAATATCGTAGCTACAAGTATTCTGTGACTCGTTGTTCCCGCTTCGGGACGAACAATGAGCTACTGACGACGTCGAAAATTGTACATTCGAGCAAAGTCGGCGTGCCACCAGATTGACGTCCCACATTGTCACGTCCGGCCTACCTCCCTTGCAAGCGGTTGATCCGGGGGCTCTGTATGCACACTATTTGGGCACAGGTGTGGGATGGGGACCGCGGTTCTTAGGTCAACGCAGTGGGTCTACATCATTGGATCGTTCGCCCTCAAAGGGATATCTCAAGCAGTGTTTGCAAAGGACAGCTACCAGCCGCTGAATGGTCATAGTGGGTGTTCCAAGGTGCATCGCAGCCCGAATCGGTCGGTTGCAGGAGTCACAGGAACATGATTGTATATAGAGTGCGGCTACAAGCAGATCTCGGGACGATCCAGTCTGTTATCATCCTCGTCTGCTTCTTTCGGGCTCGAAGTACAGACCACCAAGATGTGGTTCCAACGGGTGTCACTGCTCGCTCTCAGCGTCCTCCTGCTCTCTGTTGCGGTTCGAGCCAATCCGCCAACAGCCGCGGTCGCGTTTGTCGATGTCAAACTTGACGACAAGGCTGCCGTATGGTCGCTTCTGCTTGACCAGAGATACAGCAAGGTGATCGCAATCACCACCGGAATAAACGAGCATCGTCGAGCGGCTTACGAGCTGGATCAATACGTGGACCGACAGAACGCAATGGCCAACGTCAAGTTCAACAAGGACAAGCTCGAGATTCTACAGGGAAGTAATCCTCTGCCGTCTTCAGCTCCACACGAAGCATGGTGGGGCGGTCAACCAGGTTTGCGGGTCGCTGCAGCAGACGAAAGCACGCTCCGACGACGCCTGCACGGGTATCGAGTGAGCGTGCTTCAGATTGCACCCACCGCTCCGGGGCAGGTGCAGGCGGTCCTGGATGCGGCTGATCGAGGCTCGATCGTATCGTACATGCTCTTGCACGGCTACAATAGCAGGCAGGCATCTATGAGGGATCAGACGAGCTTCCTGAGGAACTTGCGGTCGTGGGTGAAAGCCAATAATCCGAACGCGGAGGTGTACTTTACGTCGTCCATGGATACGTATGCCGCCAAGAATGGAGGCAAGCAGCCGTACACGGCCATCCAGCACATGTTCCCAAGGCAAGACCTCGATCAAGCGATGAGGGATCCATTCTGGTCGTCTCAGCTGCTCAAGGCGCACAAACAGGAGGGTCTGGACATCCCCGAATTTCCGATACAGGATCAGCAACAGCTGGACGATATCATCTTGCAAGCCAGGACCCACCCGAATCATCCCAACAGCGCCGCCTGGCGCAACTACATCACGCAATACATCAACACAGCGCTCGCCAACAATCCTGGACGGGACACGGACAACCTGGTGCTCACCCGACTGCGACACACGCATCTACCCGAGTTCTCGGGAGATGCCACGCTGGAGCTAGCCGACGCCGCCCACATTGCGGCGTTCCACCGCTTCCAGGATGGCGGTAGCAACATGCACGCTGAGCCGGTCCGATTTGCTGCTGGTCCGCACGCAGAAGGCGCAAAGGTGGATTTCTCGCCAGCGACCGGCAACGAGCTGCATGGCTACCTTGTCCGCGGAGCAGATCGAGATGAGGATCTTGCTTATATCAAGCAGCTTGCCGGTGTCTGGCATTGATGCGAGTTTTGAGTGCGCCGGGTCCCGAGTCCCAGGCAAAGCTCGTGCCGTAGACAAGACAATTGAAAGAAGCTTCTCCGACATCCGTTCGTGCCGAGCGGAGACGTTGTTCCGTCTTCCGCCTTCCGGCGGCAAAGTGGACGTGTAGCACCGCAAATTGTCAAAGTGCGCATGTGAACAAAACGTGGTTAAGCAACGTGCAGCTTCCAGGAACGAGGCCCTTCCGCGGAAATCCGGAGATGAGATGTCAGCAGCGGGATCGACTCGAGCACTGTATCGCTCGGCGTCGAACCCCCACGAGAGGTGATGCAAGCCTCGTTCAAGCCCAAAGCTATCTTCAGCTCAGTTTCTCTCTGACTTGCGGACAATGTTTTTGAAGTGGTCGTGAGTCGTGCGCCGCCATGGTCGATGATATAAGAAGGTCGATTTTCATTCCCGTATCGCTAAATCCTTCACCCCTCATTTCTCCACGACGACAAAGATGGCAGCCTTCGATAAGCAAGAGACAACCTACAAGCCTGTCTTTGAGGCGTTCGAGCAGCAACCATGGAGTCAATTCTCGCGATCTCGCAACTTTGCCGCTGCAGGCCGACCGGCACCGGCCAAAGGAAGGCCCGTCACCATGTCGGTTGTGTTGAAGGATCAATTGACGATCAGTAGCTGGCTGCTGCTGGGAGCAAGTGCCCAGTGCGGGCTGATCGGCTTGTTCGGAGCGAGGCTCTGGACGCTAGGCCTGCCGGTGCTGGTGTTGGGCTCACGCCTGATCAAGACCGTCTTACAAACGACCGGTGTGATTCGCAACCCTTTCCTGGACGGCATCATCCGCGGACGTACGACGTGCCATTTCCCTGATGCAGATGGGGAGTACAAGGGGCCCGCATCGAACAAGTCGATGGCGGTGCTGCTGATCTCTGTCCGTAGCAACCATCCGATGGGCATCGCGGCGCCAGGTATGAAGGAGCTCGGCGAGACTTTCAACGCATGCGTCAAGTGGCTCGAAGAGGACTCGCACGAACGAGGCTTCCTGGGAATGACGTCGTGGATCAACTGCTCGGACCGCACGGCCAACAACGAGCTGCTCAACATTGGCTACTTCCGAAGCGTCGAAGACATCCATGCTCTGGCGCACGAGGCGATCCACAGAGCCGGTTGGAAGTGGTGGAACGAGTCGAAAGCCAACCTGGACCATCTCACACTGACGCACGAGATCTTTGCCGTCGACGAGGGTAGCTGGGAAAACGTGTTTGTCAACTCGGCACCGACGCATCTGGGCACCACCGTGGTCAAGGGCGATGACGGTAAATGGAGATCTCCACTGATCTACACGTCGCCCGCTCATCGATCCTCGGCGAATCGGATGCGCCGCACGCAGACTGAGGCGCAGAAGAAGCGTCAAGACGAGAGCGATGCCTTGACTGGCGAGGCCTACTGATGGTCATTGTTGCAGTGGTGAGCCTGTCTGTCTGGTCGTCAATCCACTTTTTCCTCCAAAACCCTGTGCTTTTCTTTCGTCTGTTTCCCTTCCCGATCGTCGGCGTATGAGAGACTGAACGGATTGGGTCCGACGGACGCTTGTATAGCAACTTACACGAAGCTCCTGCTGGGCCTGCTGAGGGAACAAGACCGCCCAGCAGCAATCTCCGCGTTTCCCCTCACCTGCGGGATTTAGGCGAGTCACGCACACCCACTCTCTCGCCCAGGGTCCAACTGCTGTTCTGCGCTGCGTTCCGTCCCAAAAATATCCAACAGCAGCCGCGGTTGCATATACGAAAGTCATATTCGATGTCAAATCGGCCATTCCGAACAAGCAAGTTTTCATGTCTGCGATGGAGGTACTGCGCGGCAGCAAGACCATCATGACTGAGCGCTTCGATGACTGTGATGCGAAGAAGAAGGTCAAAGGAATAAAATCCGAAAAATCCAAGCCAAGCTCAAGCTCAACGGCAGGTGACCGGTCGGTGTCTAGGCACAAGCATGTCTTGTCTTGTCCCACTCGCCGAAAGACGAGGCTCGCCTGGTTCTTTTGTTGGCCGATGCGATGCGAAGGCAAGAGAGGCGAAGGAGGAACAAGAGACCCTTCCTGAGCTTTTGCTGTTGCACTTGACCCCATCCATGATACCTACCTTCTACCATTCTCTTCTCCCATCATCCTTCATTTGTCCTTCATTCAGGACGCAACTTCCCCACTATCTTGCTAAGCTGCATCGTAATTGATTCCATCAATATTCCTCGCGACCTCAACCATCGACTTTGCGTCGGCATCGGACCACACGAATCTTCATTCGGCTTCGACTTCGGCTCGTGCTCCTCATCTGGTACCTGGTCTGCTTCGCCGTCGCTCCATCAGCTGCCATTGCAGCGGAGCACATCCCGCTCAAGCTTCAAAGGCACCCCTCTTAAACGACTGAATCACAACCATCATTCTACGGAATAAGAGCAGCCTCACGATCAACACATCGCTACAGAGATGCAGCCAAAACCCATCGCACCGCATCCGGGCCCATCCGCGGCTGGCCAGACCACCAACTTCGGTCCTTCCGAGACGGCAAGCGCCTCCAGTTCCGTCTCGCCACGCGCACGCTCTCCGTCTGGCACCGAGACTCCCGACCGCACTTTTGGCAATGGCAACGGCTCCATCCCCTCTTCCGTCTCGAAAGCAGCGGCCGTGGGCGCAAGCGCCGGACCAAGCCGTCCAGCCACCGCAGCCCTCGCCGCAAAGATAGCCGCCTCACGTCAGCACGGCACTGTCGCAGATGCCGTCGCAGCTTCTCTGGGTAGCAAACGAGAACGCAAGAGGAAGCGCATTCATTACAGCTGTGCCGAATGTCACCGCCGCAAACACAAGTGCGATCGACAAACACCGTGCCAACCATGCATCGATCGAGGTCTTGGAGACAGCTGTCGACCTTTCGAAGACGGCGACCAGTTCGGAGACATGCGCGACCGGGTGCAGAGGCTCGAAGACATCGTCGAAGGTCTCGCCATCGCGCACGCAGAATTGGCAAAGGAACTCAAGGACTCTCGTGGTCAGATGGCCGCTTTTGTCGAAATGGTCTCGAGCGACGAAGAACAGGACGCCGATCCCAACGACCCTGCTGCCGCGTCTCGACCCAAACCCAAGAAGCGCAGAAGGATCATTCGTCCCAGCACCGCCCGCGGCATCGAACGCGAGGAGCTCTTCAATTCCGAAGCCCAAGCCATCGCTGCTTCCAAGGGCGAAGTCATCGACTCCACCAACTCAAAACAAAATGCACCTCGCTACGATCTCGGCGGCAATCCACTTGAAGGCGGTCTCGCTCGTGACGGCGACAGCTGGTTCGGCGCTCTTGCTCTGCCTTCCGTCAGCCGCGGTGTCATCGAGACCGAGATCAACGGCGAGCGTCTCGAGCTCGGTGCCAACTTCCCTCGCTTCCCTGCCTCCGTCAAGCTTCATCGTCTCATTCACGAAGGTGGCGCCCCCGAAAACATCCTCAGCGATCTCATGAACTCGCTCCCTTCCAAAGCCGACACTGATCGTCTCCTCGACATCTACTTCCGCGATATCAATCATACCCGCCTTCCCATCCACGAAGGCACCTTCCGACAATCGTACGACGAGCTCATGGAGTTCAGGTGGGGCAACGCCAAGGAGGAGCGAGGCGACGATGGCGCAAGGCATGTCCCCTTCCTGGCCTTCCTCTTTGCTATCCTCGCCACCGCTATGCGATCGCTGCCGGAAGCGTTCGGCAGCGAAGCAGAGGCCAAGAAGGGCGCGGTACGTCTCTACCATGCATGCCGCCGCACCATCAACATTGCCTCGACCATTCGTGTCGACCACATCGATCTCGTGCTTGCGCATCTCTTTGCCGCCCGCTTCCTCATCTGCCAGCGTCAAAGCGCCGAGAGTTGGTCGCTACTCGGTAACGCCATCCGCGCCGCACAAGCCATCGGTTTGCACAGAGACGGCAGCAAGCTTGGCCTCGATGCCATCACCACGGAGCGCAGGCGTCGTCTTTGGGCCATCATCTTCTACATGGACAAGACCACTAGCATCCTCCTCGGACGTCCACAAGCAATTCAAGATATCCACTGCGACACTCTCCCGCCCTCCGACATTGACATTGACACCATGCCCAGATCGGCGCGGCCGTACGTTCCACGCACCCGACCTCGTCCCAACACCCCACCTGGCGTCTTCCTCTTCGTCGCCATCCGCCACGAGCTCACTCGCCTCACCGGCAAGATCGTCGAACACTTTCAAAACCTTGCCAGCCCACGTCGATATGCGGATGTCGTCGCGCTCGACGAGGAGCTCGAAAAGTTCCGAAAGGACATTCCGGACATCTACCGCGTCGACAAAGCAACCACGGGCACTGGTCCTGACACCAACAAGGAGTTCGACGCAGTGTGTCCCTGGCTCCCCCTGCATCGGTACCTGCTCAACATCGAATACCACTACGTCCGCATCGCTCTGCACAGGCCGTATGTGCTGCGCAATTCCGAAAAGTACTCGCATTCGCGCACTGCAGGTTTCGAGAGCGCCAAGGCAGACCGCAGGGTGCGCCAGGAGTATCGCAAGGACGTCAAATGGGAGCCCGAGCGTGCACGCAAAGTTCACATGGGTGGCCTCTACCGTCTTTTCAATGCGACCATGATGATTGGAATCGCGCTGCTCCTCGATCCCAATGGACCTGAAGCGCCCGACTTTTTGTCGTACCTCGACGAGTTTATTGAACTGCACAAGCACCGCGAGGGCGAAGCCGACCAGTGCAGCAAACGCGAAGTCAAGATCATCGAGCTGTTCAGGGCCAAAGCGCGCGACCCGACGTGGTGCGCAACGTCTGCGACCGGAGCGAGCAAGAAGCTGGCAGGAAGCGAAGGATCCAAGGGTAAAAGTGGACAGGCAGACGGCTCCAAGCGCAGCAAAGAAGCAGCGGCAAAGCGAGAGAGCGGCAACGAAGGCACCGCCGGCGTCGGAACCGCTGCTTTCAGCTCAGCCATGCTGCTTGGTGGATCCAAGCCGAGCAGTTCGCAGCTTGCGCGCGCGGGTTCGGTCAACACGACCGACAGTATCACTCCGCCACCGTTCGCAGGTCTGTTTGGCGGAAACGCCGGGACTTCCGCGCCAGGTCTGGCGCTCGGTACGGTCTCGACAGGCACGACGAGCGATGCCGCCACCGACCTTGCCCAGAGCATCTTTGATCAACTCGGAGGCTACGAGCCTAGCTTTGGCATGCTCAACCCTACCCCCAATGACGCGCTCAACTTCAACGCTGGGTCCGGTCTAGGTTTCGGTCCGAGCCACACTTCCAACAGCATGGGGTTCGACTCGGCAGCAGGATTCGATATTACGAGCTACTTCAATACGCCGCCACCCGGGTCGTCGGGTCCGTCACCGAACGTCACAGCCAACGCAGCAACGTCGTCTGCCCCGCCCAGCTCGGGGCTCGCTCGCAGCTCCGCCAACTCTATCAACATCCCGGCCACTTCGTCGTCTGAGCAAAGCGGGATTCCAAACTTTCAACCTAGTGCCCATCCACATTTGCGCGCTCTCAACACCACGGGTAACTTCAACGGTTTCCCCGGCTCATCGGACAGAGGCGATGCATCAGCTGGCGCAAACGGCGGTGCTCTAGCTAGCGCCAATGGCGTCCCGGGCGATTGGGGCTTGTTGCCCTGGGGAGGCTTGATCGAGGCCATTGCGCAGAGCTCGCATGGCATCGACCAGCCCGGATCGAACGGAACGCCGAGCTCGCACGCAGACTTGAAGACGGAAACTCCGGAAGGATCGGATAAGCATTAAATAGTCATGGGTATAATCAAAAGCAGCAACAGTCAGCAATTGTCCTGTGGTTTCGAATGTGCTTTCGGTCCTTCCGATTTGAGTTCGTGATTGTATAGGTGCTAAAGAGTAATACTGGCACCGTGGTTGAGGGCGACAAACGTCTTCTGACCCTTCCCCTTGCCGTCATGCATCGTCTCCTGCGACCTCGCAAAGTCGACGCCATGCTGTACGCAAGCCCACTTCAACTGGCCCAGTGTCTTGAGCACCTCCTCTGGACCGGAGATGAACGTTCCCCAGTGTATCGCCATGCACACGGCGCTGCCGGCTAGATCTGCCGTCATCTTGTCGAAGATGCCTACCGCGTCCCAGGGCGGCATGTGGTTGGCAGCTGTCAGGCCGGACGAGATGCGCGGGAAGGGAGACAAGCTGTCCGGAAGTGGAACGTAGGATCGCAGGAACGAGATCGTCGCTCCGACCGAGATGGGCAGCATGAAGAAATCAGGTGCACCGAGACGGGTGACGATCTCTTCGAACGCGGGACAGGCGGGATATGGATTCACCTCGTCGTCATCCGATCCGAGACGCATGCCTCCGCGGTAGGTCGGGGCAGTTCTGGGGGGGAAGCCCGGAAGCGTGGCGTCGTCGCCGATGGAGCTGGTCTCGGAAGCTGGCGTAGCGTCAACTGAAGGTGTGTCGCTCTCCACAGGTCGTGGAGGCGAAGGTGGCCAAGATGCACCATGGAATTGACACCCCGTATCGCCGCCGAAGAAGATTTTGGTGGAGAATTCAGCCGAAGCCGTGCCAGGATGTTCAAGGAACCATGATGACCACAAGGCGCAATTCGCATCGACACCGTACCGACCGGAACCGTGCTGCGCTGGTGTGCAAACGACTCGCAAAGCGGCGTCGTCGTCACCGGGCTGTCTCAGAAGCACCTCGTCCCACCAATCCAGTTCGGTGACCCTCTCCGGCGGTATGGACAAATTCGAGGTAGTCGTGGCAGTTGTGACTGCTGATGGAGCCAATGACCAGGACGACGAGGATGGGGTCGGCGCGGACGGTGTTGTCGGCTGCAGCTCCGCCTCGGTGCCGGCGTTGGCACCAAGGAACCAATCCTTGTTACCCAGAGGAACGATGAAGCGGATGCGATCCTTGTTGGCAGCCCAGAGTTGTCGAATGGTGTCGTAGTCAAGGTGATCGTAGTGGTTGTGCGAGATGATGACCAGATCGATAGGCGGCAGGCTCGAGACGGGGCAAGGTGCGGGGTAGGAACGGATGGGGCCGGCGACCTGGGTAGGCGAGCAGCGCTGAGAAAAGATGGGATCGAAAAGTACACGAATCGGCTGACCTTCCGTACCGAGTGCAGGCAGCTGTACGAGAACCCCAGCATGACCAAGCCAAGTGGCCTTGATCTTGGCGTCGGTGTCAAAATCGAAGTTGGGTGACTGAACGGTCAGAAGCTGCTTGGATGCCATCTTGATCTTTTGCTGTCGGGTATATGGTGCGGCTGAAGACACAACTTGGGGCGTGAACCAGCCTGCAGATTGTTGTGCTGAGCTTTGGGTATCGGGTACCTTGCTTGCCGGATGTGACGAGGCATGCTCGAGGTCCGGTGTGCCTGGGCGACTGTCTTTGTAGGGATCCGTCGTCGCTGCATTGCCGTCCGCTGATGATCCGTCGCTGGAGATAGTTGACAGATGCGCATCCTGCATGGCATAGTCTATGGCAGGATCGTGGTCCTCTCCCCATTCCAAACCCTGCCAAACTTCTGTTACTGTTGGCTTGTGCCAGCTCGGCCAAGGATTCTGAAAGCCGGTGCGCACCACCTTGTTGGAGTCAAGTAGAGCAATCGAGTTGGGCAAGCAGGTGATGCTGGAAGAGAGGTCATCTTGTTGGATCTGCGTGCTTTGGGTAGAGTCTTGATCGCCTTGCTGCGAAGATGTGGATGGCTGCGGATTCCAGTGCGGAAGGTAGGACGAAAGGGTGGTGCCTGGTGCCGGTGCTAGCACATGATGGCTGGGTGGGAGGCCTCCCGAAGTGAGGTTGTACTTGACTTGCACAGTCAATGGCTGACTGTTGGAACCTTGCGCCATGAATGATCGCTCTATGTCGTGAAGGGTGAGTAGATGATGGTGGTGGTAAGCCAGGCACCAGGATTTTACGAGCGTGGGTAAGTGGAGGCTTGCGGGTTGTGGTTGCGGTGCACTGACCCTTTGTTTCCTTTGTTTTTTCAACCCGCTTTTCTGCTTGGAATATTCCTCCTTGATTTCGGTTGGACCTGTCAAGAAGAGCGACATGATCCTCGTCGTCACCCACATCCTCCCACCCTTCACTTCGGTAGCACCTGCACACATGGACAGAGCTCAAGCGGATTCGATCGATGGAGGTGATATCTCAAACCTCCATCAGCCGCCACCGGATCACCATGTTCCACTAGACCATCTCCGCTCGCTCTACTACCGACCCGCTTTGGGATCCGGCATCCTAGTACCCTCGTCCGACCTCTCCCGTGAGGCTTCCTCCTCTCGTCTTGCGATTGGAGGAGGTGATCACACATCCATTCCAGCCACTTCCTCCGACTGGAGCCATCATCGGCGTGTCGAGAGCAATCCTACACGAAATGTACGATCAGCAGCGTCGTCCTTCTGGTCGCACAATGTGCCCCACGCTCATCCCGAATCGCATGTCAGCATACTCGCTCAGGCGCACGATGCGAGCTCACTGTCATCACGCACATCCACTCCTCCGCTACAGCAACGTCAACGACAGCTGAGCTACATCCACGCGGCACCAGGATCCAGCGCATCATCGTACAGCATCGGCATCGGTAGCTTGGATGCTGGACGTGCCCCGTTCGCCCATCCTTCATCGTATGGCTACCTGCCCACACGGGTGTTGCCAGTCGAAGAAAAGAAACGGATCCTCATCACTGGTGGAGCAGGCTTCGTCGGCTCCCATCTCGTCGATCGTCTCATGCTTCTCGGCCACGAGGTACTCGTCATTGATAATTTCTTCACAGGCCAAAAGAGCAACGTCTCGCAATGGGTCGGTCATCCCAACTTCGAGCTCATCCGTCACGACGTTGTTGAGCCACTCATCATCGAAGTCGATCAGATCTACCATCTAGCCTGTCCTGCAAGTCCCATATCGTACCAAGCCAACCAGATCAAGACCATCAAGACCAACTTTTTGGGCACGCTCAACTCCCTCGGGCTGGCCAAACGAACAAAGGCGCGCTTCCTTTTGGCAAGTACATCCGAAGTGTATGGAGATCCAGACGTTCACCCACAGCCAGAGACCTACAACGGCAACGTCAATCCCGTCGGCCCGCGTGCGTGTTATGACGAAGGCAAACGAGTAGCCGAAACCCTCACCTACGGCTACTACTATCAGGATGGGGTCGATGTCAGGGTTGCTCGCATCTTCAACACGTACGGACCGCGCATGCATCCCCACGATGGGAGGGTGGTCAGCAATTTGATACAGCAGGCTTTGAGGGGTGAACCGCTGACGGTGTTTGGTGACGGTTCCCAGACTCGCAGCTTCATGTTCATCCACGACTTGATCGATGGCTTGATTTCGTTGATGAACGCCGAGCCAGAGCAAGAACAACCACGTCAACAACAGCATCAACAACAGCAAGCACAAGTCCCATCTGCAGCAGCACTGAAAGCAGCCGAGATCATGACGGAAGCCAACGATACGATCATCCCGTCAACTTCGGCCGTATCAACTCCGGCCCCATCCATCTCTGCTGCCGCTGTCGCAGACAGCGAGGTCAGCGCAAACCAGGGATACTTCAAAACCGAATCGCATCGTTTGGACGTACACACACCCGTCAACCTCGGCAACCCAGCTGAATTCACCATCATGGAGCTCGTCCATCTCGTGCAGAAATGCGTTGCAAAAGTCAAATCCAAAGATCTCGACGCCGCGGCTACCGACGAAGCTCAACCATCATCCGAGATACGCTTCCTTGCAATGCCAAAGGACGATCCCAGACAACGCCGACCCGATATCACGCGCGCTACCAGCTTGCTCGATTGGTATCCTCGCTGGAAGCTGCAGGACGGACTGGAGGAGATGACTCGGTGGTACTGGGAGCGCATCAAAGAGGGATCTCTGTAGACACTCATCACACTTCTTCCGCTACCGAACACATGCAATAGAATGCTGTCATTATAACCTTGGGTATGACTGATGCTGCTTGACTTTACTCAGTAGCCTGTGGGACCCTGAATATCGTACCTCTTACCTCTTACAGCCCAAACACCCCAGTTGGCCTTGACCGCCACCCTGGGATCGAAATCAGCCACCGCCCACTGTTGCGAAGCAAACACGTTCTCACCTGGAGTGATCAGCCAGTCAAACTCGCCACGCACGCCGTCGACGCTCTCGAACGCCAGCACGTCCCGCTCGACATCAGCGGGGGAGAAGCCGGTGGCGACGAGTGCACAACGTGTCGAGAGGATCTGCCCGATGGCTCGTGCCCATTCTCGCTGCGCCTGGACGACGGGGGCTGCGGTGAGCGCGGTGAAAGTGTGGCCATCGGGCGAAGTAAGTACAGGCGCGGGTTCTTCGGATGGGATGTCGCCGCCTTCAGGTGAAGAGGTGGCATCGATAGTGTAGGCAGCTTCGGAGCGCTTTGGCGCTGAGACGTCGGAAGGCGCGGTCCCGCCGTGGATATGTTGCTGCTGCTCGGCGATCTGCGACTTTGCCAGCTCGACGGCATCGTCAGCAGCCTTTTGAGCAGACGCTTCGGTCGACTCGGCCGCTTCTGCTCCTGCAGCGTGGTAGGTGCTCTGTGCGCGCGCAAAGTGAGCCTCGTGATCGCGATCCTCCTGCCTCGCCTTGTCGGCTTCCTCGACAGCGATCTGCGAGGGGAAACCGAAGCCAGGACTGAAAGCGAAGAACACGTCGGTATACGCATCGAACGGCTCGAGCTGAGCATGGACATCTTCGTACTTGGACTGGATGGTGGTGACGGTGAGACCTTCAGAGACGACGACCGTGCGAGAAGGCACGCCGTAGTTGGATTTGCGGACGCGACCCTTGTGCATCGAGATGGCACCGGAGCCTGGCCCAGCTTGCTGCTGCTGCATCTGGACCTGCTTGTCGGTGGGAATATGCGCTTCAGGACCGATGAGGAAGAGGTGGAAGGGTACGCCAGGGAACATGTACGTCAACTGATCCCACACGGCAGGTGGCAGCGTCGACTCGGCTCTTGCGCCGACGACAAAGATGCGCATCTTGTCGAGCATCGGCTTATCGCCCTGTTTCGGATGCAGCGTCTGTCGCAATGCAATCATACTGCGCAGTCCCTCGTGCGTCAGTCTGCGCGACTTTTTGGTGTAGGGACTGTTCTCGTGGATCACGGCGCCCATCGTGGTTGGGAAGGTGAGAAGCTTGCTGACATGTCTTCGGCTACGATCCGACTCTATCGAGTTGAAGTTTCGCGTGTAGAAGAAGACATCCCAATTCGACATGTTGATCGTCTCTTCGAAGCCCTGAGGACCTGGCAGCTTGAATTCGGACATCTCGCGACCGCTGCGGAGATCATGTTCATCCTCGTTGGCTTCCCGCAGGCGAGCTACGTACTTGCCGTGCTCGGTGTCTTCGGCCCATTCCTTTTCGCTGTAGTGCGTCGGCCAGCCGCAATCGGGACACTCAAAGTTGACGAGACGACGCACTTTGTACTTGGACATGCTGACGGGACATGGTGCTAACGATCGGATGCGCTCGCCGCGTGCACGAATCGAAGGGACGGGCGATTTGGAGAAAGGGTGGAAGAGGTCGTCCTGAGCAAGCAAAGGCTTCTTGGCTGCACGAGGTGGCAGAGCGAATGGGTCATTCTTCTTGTCCTTCTTGCTGCCGCCAAAGAGCGAGAATCCAAACAGCGTGCGATGCTGGCCAAGCTGTGATTGCGATGTGCTGTGGTGAGCTGTGCATGCTCTGTGATTCGAGCTCAACAAGGGTGTCGAGACGGGTCGCATCGGAGCAGCCGAGCGGGCCATGCCGCCGACAAGGGAAAGCGAGCGCGATGCCGCCTTCATGTCTCTGCAGGAGCACCTTTGTTGATGGGCAGACGAGTCGGGAGTTGAGAAGACAGGTGCTGAAACTGGAGGATCGACCGACGTTGATGCTCCACAGTTGCTCAACGTCTTGCTCTCCGTGACCAAAAAAGTCGACAGAGGTGGAGATTTTCTCAATGCTCGCCTGCTGCTCTTGTGTGTCGGCCGCCGCTTTCTTCTCAAGCAGAAAAAGTGTCGCTCAAATTGGATCACCTCAGCCGAAATCAACCAGATCTGAAAATCGGTTGCAGCCCGATCCGCCAAGACCTTCGGAGTGACCGAATCAATACACGCGATACATGGAGGCGAACGGGCCAAGAACCAGCGAGCCCGGACCCTGGCCGAACAAACATCGTTCACGGCGCTCCTCTGCTCTACCTTCACTCCTTCGTATCCCTCAGCATCTCCTTGATCTACGGCGCTGACCGTGAGTGCCAGTCATGGACCATGCCGTTGTGCAGAAGTGGCTGCGTAGCGTCCTCGGCCCATACACGGACCGCGACCGAGTCTTTGCCGATGTCGACCGCGCTTTGATAGCCGTTTCTTCCCTCTCACCGAAGACGGAGGTCTTCACTTTCAACGATGGCAGAACGCAGCTGCTCGTCAACCTGGAAGGTACAATCCCAGTTGACTTTCGCAACACCACGTACAACATCCCCGTAGCTTACTGGATTCCACGAGACTATCCTCGCGAACCACCCATGGCTTTCGTTGCGCCCACCCCGGACATGGCCATCCGCAAGGGACCCAATGTCGACCCGAGCGGAGAGATCGGCGGAGACTACCTAAAGCGGTGGCGAAGTAAGCCGGAAGCATGCAACCTGCTCGACCTGATTCACGACTGTCAGCACATGTTTGGTCGTGAACCTCCGGTCTATGCAAAGCCGAAGCCTACACCCGTCTATGCCACTGCTGCCTCATCTTCGCCCTTTGCGGCGCATCAGCAGCAGCGCTCCCAGCCCTCGACACCGCAGCGCCATGCTAGCACCTCGAGCGACCTGGCAGCACAGCGCATGGCACATGGAGCTCCGCCGCCAATGCCTGCATCACCGCAGTCACCGCAAGTAACAGCTGGCCCCTCTTTTCATAATCAGAGCTCGCATGATCCGCGACAGAAACCTCCTCCTCCAGCACCTGGCACACCGTCCGCCGTGCAAGATGCACACACACCTCATCGGCCTCCTAAACCACCCTCCTCTTCTGGTCCGGATGGTGGCTACGCACCGAGTCCTCGTCCGCAGAGTTTTGCGGCACCCGGTGATCAGCATGGCTGGTCGTTGCATGCAAGGGAAGTCCAATCGCCACAACATAACGGAACTCCACGCTTCGCTTCCGAGGAAGCGCCAAGGCGCTCATCAGGAGCAGGCTTGGCCCCGCCGGGCTTCGGACATCCTTCTCAATGGGCCGGTCCAAACGCGGCACAACACGCACCTCAATCGCCGCACTCTCCCACGAATTCAGCGCCATGGCAGCAGGGGACGCCCGACCGTCAGCAGGGCCCACAGCCACACCGTCACAGCTCGCAGCACTATCCTCCGCAGCATCAGCATCCACATCATCCACAGCAACAGTTGCCCCATCAACGCTCTCATACATATCCTTACCCAACGACGGACTTGCATCCCGGACCACATCCTTCTCACGCCGGTGCTCCGATTTCGGGACAGAGATACGTGCAGCGAAACGGGAACGTCCATTCCCAACATACAGTGGGGCCACCACAATCGCAATCGCAAGCATCGCCTGTACCTGGTGCGCATGCATACCAGCAGTCTTCCAGTGCCCAACTCGGCACATCCTCAAATGGCGCGAACGGATATCGAGACACGCCACAGCCTGCTCTTGCACCCAAGCCGAAAGGCGTCAACCTGTTGGATGACGAAGAAGCCGACACCGCCAGCGCGTCCTCTCCTAGTGCTGTGGGCCATGGTGTGGGACAGCCGAGAGACCCAGGTGTACCACCACCACCACGACCCATGAATCCGGAGTTGCTGGCATTGCACGATCGAGTGTTCACCAAGATCGATTCACGACTCTCGAGCCTCGCCTCGACGCTCTCCGCCTCGAACGCGAGACTCGAAGTTCTCTCTTCCGACTTGGACCGCGGTTTACCCGCCATTGAAGACGAGATGTCGCGGCTTAAAGCGGTACGTGACGTATGCCAGATCACTGGCGACCGACTCGATTCGTCCGTGAACGAGATAACAGAATCATTGCGATCTATCCAAGCTAGGGAAGACCCGGATCCGGACAGCATGGTGTTAGCTACGAGCATCGTGGGCAATCAATTGGTGGATCTGGTAGCGGAAGACAATGCGATTGAGGATACGCTGTATCATCTGGGTAGAGCGTTGAATGCCGAGAGGCTGGATCTGGAGAGGTTCTTGAAGCAGACGAGGATGTTGGCGCGAGAACAGTTTATGAAGAGGGCTCTGGCGATGAAGATCTCAGACGGGATGGGGTGGGCACAGTGATGGCGGAGGGAAGTGGAGCATGCTTCAACGAATGATGCGTTTCACAGCCTCGGCGTGTCTGAGTGTGTGGCGATGTGATGACTATCGAGCAGATCGTGAGTTGGTTAGCGTGTGATGCTTGTTGGGTGGGTCCAGAGAGATTGAGCGAGGGCGAGAGTCGCGCCACGCCGAGTTACGCCCGCGCGCGTTTTTTGGCGGAAAGTGTTGGTGTGGAGGCTTTCTTGACTGACATCACGAGTTGCACCTTCTCCCCAATATCGACATCGTATCCATCCTCACCTCGATTGATCGGGCTCGTATCGACCGCACATTCATCGTGATCATGAGTAGTGCCCTCAAACGAAAACGTGGCCCTAGCAGCGGCGATAGTGGTCGTGGATCAAACGCCATCAACTCTTCGACGAAAGGTCTTGCAGGTCCTGATTCCGGCAATGTCCCACCTCCCGACACCGCCCTGCTTCGCGCGACTCTCGAAGCTTCGCTTGCTGAGCTTCGTACCTCAGCCTCTCGGATCGAGCTGCTGCTACATAGCCTACCAGTCCGACCGTCTGCTACCGCGCGAAGAGCACTGACCCCGGTACAAGCGCCGGCACAACCCACACTCTCGAGCCCCCCATCGCTTCCTGCGAAAGCAGCATCATCATCCGACAAGCAATGTCCGTCATGCCAGGAACTTCAGTCCCAGCTCACGACATTGCTCGCGCAAGCAGAGCAGCACCAGGCCGAGCGCGAAGCTTGGAAAGCGTTCAAGAATTGGTGGTTGGATTCCCTTGCCAAGAGAGAACGGAGGAGTCGACGGGAGAAGAACGAGGGTCCGAGTCGGCGTGAACAAGTGGACAGTGACAAGGTCAAGAGAAGCATGTTGAAGAGGCTGGACAAGGAGACGCACAAAGTGTGGGTCGATGCAGGTATCATCAGTCGGGAAGAGGCGAGTGGCGCATCTGGGGCAAGCGGGCTCGAAGGGACTGGGTCGAGTGCTTCAGCAGCGCAAGAGGAGCAGAGTGAAGTGACGCTACCGCTGCAGCCGACGAACAGGGCGCTTCCGAACCTGGCAGCCACCAGACATCAAGCGAAGCAGGTCGTTCCCTCCGGTGAGATCAATGCTGGCGTCGAAAATGGCGATGAAGGCGCTGGTGCAAAAGGTGTGGCGCAAAGCAGTCGGACAGCACCGGACAATACCACTCCAGGTCGCAAATCTGTTCGCGGGCTCGCAGACCAAGCATCCACCTCTACAAGCCGTTCCACCCCTCGGAACGCCGACCATCGCGCAAGCGCCTCGCTAGCAGCGACCACCGTCGCCTCCCCTGCTCCTACCCGCATCAACCCGACCACCACAACCTCCTCCACCACGGCGGCGTACATCGACGACCAACCGATCCGGAACCCGATCCATCGACGAACCCTTCTCGCCACCTCCTGTCCCGACTGCTCGCTCTTCTACTCGCACATGAACCAACTCGATCCATCCAACCCACAGCAAGGTCGAGGTGGAGAGGGGGACGTCTCGCGCATGGCCTGCAGTCGACATCGATCCACTTTTCGGCGTGCATCTACTCCAGATGGGTATTGGAATATTGGCTTTCCTGACACGCAGGAGGCAGAGGAGATCAATAGGGCCGCGAGGGAGGGACGGCCACCACAGCAGGAGCGGTGAAGAAGGGCTCGCAACCCAGACACCATCCACGATCCTTCTCGCAACGACAATCGAGTCTGCTACACTCACAGCGTCCATGCACTGAAACCTATGTCTGGCACCGCCGTCTCTCCACGACGTTTCAATGCACTTACACATCTTACATACACACACAGACAAAGTAAAACGTCTTGCCACTGATGTTTGATCACATCATTCCATTTGAACCACACCCTCCCTGCTCCCGCTTCACAAGAATCCACTTTCCTGCAGCAACCTGGCAATCTTCTCATCCTCCCTCTCCCTCGGCTCCAACGCCAGACTCTGCTCGTACAAATCATCCGCCGACCTGGCGTCCACCAGATGCAGCTCGATAAACTTCTCCAACGCCGGCACCACCGCCAGATTGTACGGCGTCGACTGATGGATCGTAATCTCCCGGATCACCTCGGCCGTCTTCTGCCGCTTACCAAAGTTGATCAGCTGATCGTTCTCCTTCAACCGATCGCGGTTTCCATCCTCGATGAACGTCAGATCGCCCAAGTATCTACCCAGGAAGGGCACGCACGGAGGGTTGAGCTTGTGAATCATCTCTCGGTAGTTGGCCCAGTTGCGCGAGGCAGACATGAGCTGCTCCAGCGATTCGAACACCAACACGTGCTTCTGCGAAACCGCATCCCACGTACGTCGCAGCCGATGAACCGGCGCCGTCGACAAGGCGGATACGATCGCCCACATGCCCGAAAAATTGTTGAGCGCACGACACCGATCGGCGATCGAGATGAAATGCTTGATGAGCGCAGCGCGCTTCTTGAGGTCCTCCTGCTGAAGGATGGTTTCGGCCACCCAGGCCGAGATGCGGTTGTGCGTGTTGATGCTCTCCATGATGCCTTTGGCGTGAACGTCGTTGCCCGGCTTGGTCCACTTGAGGCCCAGACACTCGGCCGGTTTCACCGCGTTGTACAGCCGCGACTCGAGCAGCGTCAGCTGTCGCGCCATCTCGAGCGGGTCGATCTCGAGGAACTTCAGCTTCTTGAGGTTCTTCGGTAGGATCGGCGCTGGCGCAGAGTTGGGCAGCACCATCTTGCGGATCATCTGCTCTCCCTCGCCCTGCCTCCTCTCCACCAACCTCTGCAGGTGCTGCGACGGAGCCTTCATCGCCGGAGCCTCGCCCATCTCTTCGACTGCGAACCGCCGAACCTGATCCAGGTACGGCTCGTCCTCCCCTTCGTAGAAGTGCATCTCGAGCCAACTCTTGAGCACGTTGAAGACACGAAGCCGAATAGGCGTCTGCTTCTTTTCCGTCCACAGCACCAGCTCCTCATCGCTCAACCCTTCCGGGGGTAGGATGCGGAACCGCTGCGCCAACAGATCCAACAGAGTCTGCGTGGTCGTGAATGAACGGTAGGTCATCAGGAAGGTGTTGTTGAACGAGGCGTCGAACGAGTTGTGCATCGTCAGACGCGCCAGCAGCGCCTCGAGCGTAGCGCCTTTGACCGAGCCATCCTGAGCAATGACAATGTCGTCACCCATGTAGTCGGGCTCCAGGAACCACGGCACCTCGTCCTCTTTCCGTCGTGCCATGCCCGAAGGCGCCGTGTTTCCAGTGCCGGCGCTGTTCTCGCTGTCGTGGGTCATGCTATGCGATAGAGGAGCATCGTCACCCAACAGCCGGCGCACCTTGCTGCTGCCCGAACGCACAGACTCTGCGTCCTCCTCAATACTCTGAGGCGTCTGCCCATCTACCAACGTGCCTCGACGACTGAGGATCCGACTAGTCGCATCTGTAACCGACGACATCGAACGCACCGATGCCGTAGTGACGGACGTCGATCGTTGGCGGTAGCTGCCAGAAGCCTGCGTCGAGGCGGCGCGAGTCGGGTTCAAGCTGGTAACCGGCGAGTTGGACATCGAACCTGATGTGGCGCGACTGCCTGATCTCGCCCGCGGTCCGTTCGGCACGGCGATACCAGGACCCAAGTACATGAACTCCGCCTCCTCGTCCTCGTCGGCGTCGTGGTTGCTTCGGTCGTAGCGAGCCATCTCGTCGATCTCTTCGTGCAGACCGTTGCTTGTGGTGTTGCTCTTGCGCGAAAACACGCCGGCCGAGGGAATGGTGATGCCGTCCTCCGAGCCGTACACAGAAGCGCGGGCGCCGAGGAAAGGCGAGGCATCCCTGAGCTGCTCTTCGCCGACTTTGACAATGTCCTCGAGCGTCCCAACGACCGCCGAGGCCAGGTTAGCAAGCTTGATCGTCTGCTTCACGATGGCAGGTGACTTGCTGTCGTGCTCCTGCACGGCAAGGAACAGGGAGCACGAAGCATCGTAAGCGGTCTGTTTGAGGATCACAAAGCGACGCATCAGGTCACGCGCTTTGGCGGCATTAGCAGAATTGCGTTCGTTGATGGGCGACGGCTTCAGCTCTTTGGCATTCGGACCATCCACGTCCAGACTCGAGGCCAGATCGATGCTCTCTATCAAAGCCTGGAGCGCACCGAACTGGGCGAGTACCTTCGAGGGCGAGGTGCTTTTCCCTTCTCTGGCCGCGTCAAGCGGGGCGAGAGACTGCTGCAGCTGCTGAAGCACCGTTTGGTCTAGTCGATTTTCCGGTATGCGTCGCAGAGTCAGCAAGCCGCGCACGAGGGCCGATTCCACATCCCTACGCTGATCGAATGGATTGCTGCGGGCTTTGCTCCCTGACTTCAAAAGGGCGGTCTCGTACTTGGAAGGGAGCACGAAGCCGTTTCCCAACCACCCGGCTGCCATCCCAGTGCCAAAAGATGTCGGACCAACGCCATTCAGACCAAGATCGCTTTCAAAGCTGCCTTCCACCCGGCGCAGCCATCCACGACTGTGAGGTGCGCCGAGCGCCGTGCTGCGAGACCTTTCAGCCTCGCCACTAAGGCTCTGAAGCGTACGCATGAGCTCCAACGCATCCTCCCGCAGTCGTTGCCGACACTGATAGAGCTTTGAGAACACATCGGCGTCGAGGTCGGTCATGGTGCTCTCCATGCCGGACGTCGGCGAAGAGGCGAGCGTGACGGTATGGTCGATGACTTGTCGCGAGGATAGGACGAGCTTGGACACGACCGCGTTGAGCTTGCGTCCTGCTGGGTGCAGCGCTCCCGGCGTTGGCGCAGCACCGTCCTTCGGGTTGACGCCAAAGACGTGCAAGACGGCGGGATCGGAGCTGTGCGGCAAGGTGTACAACGTATGCAGCACCTTGGAGTACAAATTGAGATCGACGCCTTGGGCGGCACTGGCGCTGTCCGTGAGTGTCATTGTCAAATCACCTCGAGAGGTGGACTTTGAGACAAGCCTGGAAACAGACGACAAATCATTGCCGCCGAGCGACAGCGAGCCTGTGGCATACAGCACCTCGCGGATGGCTGCGACCACATCAGCGGTAGCGTACGCCAGCCTCGGGAGATAGACGCCGTCGGCGCCGCGAATCGAGACATCGGCCTGTGCCAGACCGTTGGTGCCAATTTGCTCAGTAGCGATGGCGGCCAAGGTTCGAATGAGCTCGTTGGCGCGTCGAACCAGCAAACTGACGGGTGGGACCGGAAGCGGTTGTAGCGCCTTTTGAAGCTCGTAGGCGGTGGTCTCTTCGTGCAGCAACGAAGGAGGGGCCACCTTGGGCGGTGCAAGCACGGCATGGTGAGCAAAAGCAACGAGGTTCGAGGCTGTGCTGCCGATACGCTGAGATCCTCTCGGGGAGGGCATCTTGGGTGGCTTCCCCGGCAATCGCGGATTCATGTCGCCATCGATGTCAGAGTCATCCGAGTCGAGCTGCAGCTCCGACACTCCTTGAGTGATATTGAGACCAGCTCCCAATTTTGGTGCTGTCGTTGAGCTCTGGTCGATAGGTTCGGTGGCAGGAATGCCGGAATGCCTCGGAGAACGATTGCGAGGGGTGACGCTGGAGAGAATGGTGAGCTTCGTCTTGGCATCTGCATAGTTCCAACGAATCTCGTTGGTAGAGCGATGGACGTAGAAGAAGTACTTTTCGTCATCGGTGAGACGCAATCGCCACGGCTTTGGTACCGTTGATAGGTCGGGTATGCGGTCGGCAGTATTGGAACTTGGAGCTCGAACCGGTGCGGCGCCGTTGTAGAAGATGGCGGTGTTGCTGCTATTGGCGGAAGATGGGCGCGAGTCGGCACTCGCACCCGTCGAAGTGGGTCTGCTGCGGTCTGGAGCCAAATGACCCGAGTCGTAGAGGTCTTTGCGCGAATCGGCCGAGCTGTTCTGACCTGACGAAGTGGTACGAATCATGGGCTGAGGCTGCAATCTGCTGGTCGAAGAGGAGGACGACTCGGCGATGTCGCTGTTGGAAATGCGGCCATCCGAGGGCAATTGCGAAGAAATGGCTCCGGTTCTGGTGTTGTAGAAGACAGTGTGCCCTCGCTGTGAAGTCTTCGATATCCAAACGTCGGCACTGCTGGATGAATCAGCTTGCGAGCCAGTGGCAGCCCTGGGTCTGGCAGCAGCAGCAGCGGCGGCCGCGGCTAGGGAAGGAGATGCGGAGGAGCTAGCATGCGGCGGATTCGATACGGAAGCGGCTCTAGCGCGCTCGTGGTCCAAGGCAAGCTGCTGCTCTGAAATGGAGGTGGTGGTACTGCGCGGGTAGGGAGGGATGGCGGATCGATCTGACGCTGCGGACGATAGAATGTGTCGATAGGGCGAAGCGTCGGACCGCTGCATGTTGGGCGTCTGAGCGAGCTGAGGGCTAGCCGGATCGAATACGCGCCTCGTTGGATCGAGCATGGCCGCTTCAGCAAGCTGGCTGAAAGCGTCGCTATTGCCGATTCCGTCACCCTTTATGAGCGCCTGAAGGCCATCGAAGCCAGCGCCGAAGCCTAGACGCGGATAGGACTCCGACTCGGCTGAAGGTTGAGGCGAGAGGCCCAAGCTGTATTGCGCGTGCATTTGCGCGCGTGACATGAGCTCGAGCTCTGCTTCCTGATTCGAGACGGGCTCTACGTAGTTTGACGGAAACCAGCCTCGAACTTGGTTGTCGAGCAATCCGTCCCACCAGCCAGACTCCAATTGCGTGAGCACCTCGATCAAAGCGCCCTTTGTAAAGGAGAGTGAGCTTGCATCGTGTGACTCAAAGTCGTAGAGAGCGCGCACAAAGAAGGAGGGTGGTTCGTCGGATTCGTCGCCGCTGCCAGGCGCTTGATCGTCAAGCGGCGAGGGGTACGCAAGACGTGGTTGCGAGGAGCGCTGATGGGACAGAGCACCTCCGAGTGCGGCTGCTGAGGTCGACGCCATTGTGAGATCTCGAGAGACCAGCCAGACTCGAGCGCTCCACCAAGATTTCGAGAGAGGGGCCGAAGGGATTCGATCGAGCGATCCCGAAGAGCCCACAGAAGACTCGAGCTGGATGCTCAGTGGCGTGTTTCTGTCAAGAGTGGCGGAAAGCTGCGAGCATGGATGCTGATGCGCCGTACGTTGGAAGATGAATGAGATCGGCCAAGATGCAAGAGGAATAGATGAGAACGGACTCTTTCCGAACGTTCAAGGCGTGCCGAATTCGAGAAAGATGATGACTGATGTGCTCAAACGATGAACACAGAAGCGGCGCGGACGGCGAGGGAGAGGAGCAAGATCGGAGTCAAGCCGGCGGACCGAGATGAAGTCGTCGGAAATCGAGGAGAGGACAGTGACGCTGCACACGTCGGTCGGGCGCGAAGAGGGGCCCACCGAGGGGATTACGCAATGAAAGCGACAACGACTTAGGCGCTAGACGTCTTTCGGTCTGCTTCCTGCCCGTCGGAATTGGGACGAATGAGCGTGGGTTCGCAAGGACGATGAAGGTGTTGAGAGTGACAACGGTGTAGCGGAAGCGCCGACGGATGTGCAGACCCAAGACAGCTGAGCAGCTGAAGCTCGATTCGACTGCCTTTCGTGGTGAAGGCGACAGCGGCGGGCGTGAGCGTGACGATGGTGATGTTGATGGTGATGTTGATGGTGATTGAATCGGATGAGCCGAATGAGAGCCGCGTGGTGGATGATTCAGACCTGTCTCGAGACCAATATCAAAGGGAACAGCCGAAAAAGGAACCGGAAAGAGAGCTTTTTGCAGCGAGGGGCGCGTGTGTGCGGAGGGAAGCGCAAGCGGGTTGCCCGGTGCGTGTGCGTGTGTGCAGCGTGTCCAGTAGCAGTGGGCGATAATTTCTGACGGCGAGTTAGTTGTGCATGCGTGTGTGTGTGTGTGTGAGCGAGAGAGAGGTGTCGATTGAATTTCAAAAAACAAGCCTCGCGTTTCTTGCTTGCTTCGCAAACCGAGCGCTCGCTGTTTCTATCCTAGAATATATACACCTTCTGTACGTTGTGTCTCGCTGGCTCTCAACGGATGAGCCGAGCTAGTGTTTGAGCTGGCTCGAACGCACCTCGCAAATCATCCTTTTGCTTGTTCTTTCCTGCGACATTACGCGCTTGCGGCATCTATCAACTCGTGGGCACGGTTTCCGCGCGTTTTTAGCGTGGGATTGCAGTAGCAGATTGTCACCCAGGTCACCGGTTGCGTCAACAGCTTCGATATCGATCGCACACCAGAGTCGCACTGGAAACATCCGTTACCGTCGTAGATCTTCTTGGATGCTACATTGCGCGATAACAATGTACCACCACGATCGAATGGCAGCTGGACGTGTCTAAAAGCATCGAGCGTCGACTGTATGCGCGGGTCGATTCAAGCCGGCCCAAGCTACACCTGTCCTTCTACTCCCACCATCGCGGTAGCACACTTCATCATGCATACTAGTGTGAAACCTTTGATCGACATTCGATATGCAGCAGAGATCCGATTGTGTCTGGAACAGAGGTACCGTTCAAGAGCGCTCGAACACGAGGATTCTGCCAAGTCCGTCTGGACTCTATTTTCGACTCCGCCTGCAATAACGCTCTCCACGATCCAGACGGAATTTCTAGAACTGCCGTAGTCCTTTGTCTCGAACCATCGGACATGATCGCCCTTTTCGTCGGAGAAACATTAGGCCTCCCGCTTCGGCAAGGATATCCGAACGGAACAAGGGTTCTTTCGGCCACATGCAATCGCACCGCAAAGGGATGCAGCCACAAACAAACCCTGGACGCATTTCCCTCTGCCTAGCACATGCAAAGTCATGTGTTTGACATGTGGTGTCGGTTCGATCGAATTTGTCTCTACCAAGCTGAAATGACGTACATCAGGAACATCAACTCCAAGTCCGCCCACTTTATGCATCATCGCTATCCTCCACTGTGGCCGTCTTGGTCGCAGCGGCGGCGGCGGGAGGAGCACCGCTGTCCGCCGAAAGCGTGGACGCGACACCGGCTGTCGCTTTCGATGCTTCCGCCGTCGCTTTTTGTTGCTGCTCGTGCTGAGCTTGAGCCTGTTCCTGCAACGCCTGTAGCTGTGCACGTGCTTCCATCAGCATCGCTGCTTGCTGCGGGGGCAGATTGGGCGGAAGTGGTCCTTGCATCAAGGCGGCCAACTGTGCTGGGTGGATCTGCATGCCGTTAGGAAGCGTCACTCGCGCATCGGCACCCGATCCGGTCATGGGTAGGTTGATACTAGGTCCATCGGGTCCACCCGGTCCGCCTTGTCCTCCCTGAGGCATGCCTCCCGTAGCTCCACCGCCAGGTCCTCCTTGCGGTCCTCCTTGGATCTCGATCTTGGTTCCAGGTGGTGTCACCAGCGGGGGCAGTTCCACCGTTGCTTTCGGCACGGGCAATCCCTGATCCTCCAACTTCTTGACCTCTGCTTCCCGCTGACGCTGAATGCCGTAGTAGATTTCCTTGTGCTTGAGGTGCGCAACCATCTCGCTCGCCGTTGGGAAGATCAACTGTCCCCAGCCTTCCCTGAACGTGTTGGCCTCGGAAACCACATCGAGGATCTCAGCTTCGAGCTCCTTCTCCGCCAGATTGAATCGTGCCATGGTCTCGTCACCGATGGACCCTTTTTGCAGCAACGTGGCAAGGGCCTGCTTGTCGTCGCGCATACGCATGATCCTTCGGACGTCCGTCATGGCTCGATTCAGCAACGCCGCTTTGAGCACCTCCTCCGGCGCAGGCGGATCCGCAGCCACCAATGTCTGGTAAATGTCTCGTGCTTCGTGTCCTTCGGCAAACCACGGCTGGTACGACTTGGCCATGTTCAGCGCCGATCTTCGTCGGTAGATGCGTGAGAATACCAACATGGATACCACCAGTGTGGCAATGTAGCCGATCGGCACAAAGATCGAAAGCGCCATCTTGTTACGCTGTGCAATGTGCCGGTTATACTATTGCAGAGGTTTCCAGTTGAAGGTGTTGCTGTGTCGGTGGCGACTGAGAAGCCAAGAGAGTGCTGTTGCGAGGTCGAGCGATGTTCGCGATCTCTCGTATCAAGAGTTCGGCGTCTTTGATGGGCGAATTGATGTCCGGATCGCCTCGAACCAGGTGTGTGATGGTCGAGAATGACAGGTCGAATGGACGATTCAATGACCCCTTACATTCTTGAAATTGGACCGTGACACGACGACAGCGCGCTCTTGATTTCTTCTTCTCGCCCGGCAATGCTGGCTAGCAACCATTTACACGTGTCACCGCAGCTTTCAACTCAATTGTGAGATCAGTGGATCTAGCTTTTTTCGAAAAATTCTCTTTCCCTCCTTGCCCTTGGGACGAAACATGACCTGAGGTGAGCCCTGCTCCAACACATCTTCATCACATGTTCACAGCAACCACACTCAAACGAGAGGCAGAACGTGGTCAAAAGGGTGCAATGGGATGTGATTGGAACGGAAGTACAGATGCAAGTGCGAGTGAAAATGGCAGGAAATGCTGGGGGAAACTTGATTGAATGTCATGAGTGTTTGGTAACGTTGGTACCCTGTGTGGGCTGATGTCTGACGCAGCATGCTCTCCATCCGCGTATCCTTCATTTTCGGGTCGCGCTACTCGCCGCTGCCGCCGCTGCCTCTTTCTTCATCTTGATAAGCGACTCGAGCTCGCTGCACACCTCGGTCATGCTGGGTCTGTTCTTGGGTGTGTGATCCCACATGCGATCCAGAAGATCGACAATCTCGCCGCCAAACTGACGACGGATGAAGCCCGTATAGGGACGCTGCCTCTTCTGCCCGACATCTTGGTAGATCTGGTGTTCGTTCATGCCCTGGAATGGATACTTCTTCTCGGGCTGATGCCACTGCAACGCCTCCCAAAACGTCATGGCTGCTGACCAGACGTCCACTTTCTCGTTGTAATGCGGCTTGGGCACCCACAGCTCCACGGCCTGCCAGTTGACCGTGCCCACCAACGACCGCATCATCGACCGCGACGTGTTCTTGACGCGCGCAAGCCCGAAATCGTTGATCTTGGCCGTCTTGCGCCGTGTGATGAGGACATTGGTGGATTTGCAGTCGCGATGTATGATGGCTGGCGTCCGCGTGTGCAGATACTCGAGTCCACGCGCTGTCTCGAGGAGGATTCGGAACACCTCGGCATCGCTGGGTGCTTGCGTGTTGCGGATGTAGTCGAACAAGTCGCCGTTCGAGCACAGTTCGCTGACGATCATGCAGGGCACGTGGCGAGGATCCTCGGGGATGCTCACACCGATGAACCGCACAATGTTCTCGTGGCGCAGATCCCGTAACAGGCTGAGCTCCTTGATATCCATCTCCGTGAGCTGATCTCGAATGTCGGCAATGGCCACCTTGTTGACGCGCGTCTTGGAGATGCGGTACTTGCCCACGTAGACGTCCTTGAACCCGCCCGAACCGATCTTTTCCAGCTTCTCGAGCTTGGACGGTGCGATCTCTTTGTCGGTGAGGTTCAAACTCTCGAGATCGAGGCCGTTGAGCTCATCGACGCCGTCGCCTGGCTGCGGTGCGTTGGCCTCTTCGTTGTTCGAAGTGAGCGGCGGAGTCGGCAGCTTTTCGGAAGACACCACCTTTCCACGTGCACGAAGCAACAAAGGCTGGTCGCTGTCAGTAGCCGAAGGAAAGGCGTTGCTGGTCGCTCTGGTGTTTCGTCTTCGAGTAGGAGTGCGTTGTCCGGACTTGCCTTGATCGTCTTCCGCTACGGCCGTGGCGGTTGAACGATCTGATCGCGTTTCGTCTGCGTCGTCGTCGTCGTCGTCGAGGCGAGCACCGTTCTCGGCATCAAGCTGGGAGAACTGACGCCACTCGAGCAGCTTTTTGATCAGACCGGCCTTCTTGTCTTCCTCGTCCATGTCGATCTCACGATCCAGGCACAATCGCTCTAGCTCAGACTTGCGTAGTCGTGAGAGCGTGGCAAAAGTCGGTTGCAGCATCACATCATCGGACCCCTCAGAAGCCGTTGCTTCGGCCTCCGAAGAATCTGTGCGTTGATGGCGATCTCGATGGACAATTTCGTCGGCAGAAACCATATTGATATCGTCGAGCTGCTCAGCTCGGCCGGTTTGAAGATCGGACGCGTCCTCCGAAGCACCGACAACCAAACGGAGCTTTCCATTTCGAAGCTTGCGGAATTTGGTCGGAGTGGCACCGTCGTCGTCGCCCTCTCCTTCGCTGGCGAGCATGTCGTCATCGTCGTGGGGCCCGTTGACCGATGCATTCTCTGCGCTAGCGAGCGAGGGTGCCTCAATTGAGGCGCTGCGGCTGCGAGGCTGGTGCGAGGTGAAGCTTGCATCCGAATCAGCCGTCGATCGTCTAGCGCGGAGCGCTCTCCGTGGGATTGCTCGGGTCGTACCGCTTCGCGTCAGCACGGGTTCGGAGCCGTCTCGATTCAGGACCATTGATTCGGATTGCAGAGCTGCAGCGACGGCATCGCTGTCGGACGACAGGTCTTCCATCCATTCGTCCTGCTCGTGCTCGTGATTTTGGGCGATGAGACCGGCATTGAACCTCACGGACCTCTTGCCGCGTCGCGGTCGACGATGTCCGATTTTTGGCGTTGCCATTGGATCTTGAGCTGAGGATGCGACGTCAGGGGCGCCGACCCCACGAGTGCCTGTCTTTCGCCTGGACGACAGACCAAGTGTGAGGCGAGCGGTGCGCGATCGTGTTCGAATGGGTGACGAGGCCACAAATACGCCTAGCTGGTGTCTGTGCCCAAATGGCGGGACTGACGCGGTAGAAGCGCGCGAACTTCGGCCGCCAAAGATCGAGGACGAGGTTGACGCGGACGTGGCTTCGGAACCGTTGGCCAATCTTTGTCGCTGCACTAGCGCACCACGCAATGCGGTCTTGTTGCGCAACTGCCGGCGCGGAGTCTGATTCGCCTTGGAAGGTTCCAAGTCGTCAAAAGTGGCCGAATCCATGCGACGTAGAGCAGCGCCTTGTGCGAGTGCCTTCGACCTGGCGTGAGGCAGTCGGCCGCCTTGGCGTCGACCGCTCGGCGAGCCGTGACGCTCAGCTTCGGTCTCTTCCCCGCCTGCCTCATTGGATGCGTCTGTGAGATCGCCTTCGCGATCTTCTGCCGAGCTAGAAGAAGCAGTACGAAGGGACGCATCAACAAGCCGGTACGGCGATGCGCGTGATGATGATGTCGCCCACAGCGCATCACGCGCGTCTTGATGTGGGTCAGCAATCTCGTCGGAATGCTCGCTGTACCCAAGGGACGAGTGGCGACGAGAGCGGGACTGTCGGTGCGAAGAAGTCGAGGCGTTACGCTCGCCAGATCGGGAGCGATCGAGTCGAGATCGGCAGGTAATGATCAGATTGACGAGATCCTGCTTTGTCACGAGTTCGAGCTCGTCATGGGTGGGAGCATTGAGAAAGGCGCCAGCTGAGTAGCAGAGCTGGATGAGCTCATCCTTGCGCAGACGATGCAGCTGCCAGGTTGGTGCGGAAGAGACGAGACGGGTCTGCTCTGCCTCCTCATCGTCCATCTCGATGCTCGCATCGCTGCTCGGATCCGAATCTGGTGTTGCTCTGATGGAGTCTGCTGCTTTCGTACGAACAAGGTGGTGTGAGGTCGGAGGAACGGCAGGGTCGTCGTCCACTCTGCTGGCATTGAGAGAGCTATTCTGACGGCTGACGTTCCGAGACTGGGATCTGCTGGATCTGCCCAGGTCACGTTCCTCCAGCGTCATGCCATCGAGCGTCTTGTAGAGCGAGTTGCGGCCGGAGCGACGAGTTTGAATGCCGGGACGAGATGTTGCGAGTGTGACAGGTTCCTCCGACTTCGACGTAGGTGGACGAGATGCGGTGGGCGATGCGGAAAGAACGGAGGACCAGTCGGACAGCTCACTGGCAGACGACACAGGTTTGTCGCGAGGTATGTGGGGGGAAGTGACGATGTTGAGCTGCTTGCCGCTGCGACTGCGGGTCGAGGCCGAAGCTGACCGGCGCTGAACGTGGGATGCAGAAGCATTCGCATACTCGGAGGGTGATCGAGTGTGTGTGGTAGCCTGGCTTGCTCTGCCTAGTTGGTCTCGAGCGCCCATTTTGCGCTTGAGACCTGCTCGTACTTCGGCCACATGCATGGATGCAAAGGGTGAGGCATTGACGAGCGGTAGCTCGACGATGCAAGAAGCGTGATTGACCAGTGATGGAGAACGGAGGAGCGTGGAGCTTGCGCGAGCAAGCTTGGTACGAAGTGCAGACCGCCTGGTAATGTCGGCGGTGGTGCGCGAGGTGGCGCTAGGTGCGCTTTTACGTCCGACAGGTGCCGGAGCGTCAACAGCCGACTGATTTTGAGGGATAGGAGACAGAGCGGTGCGGGATCGGGAGGTATTGACCATGTCGAGGTTACTGAAATCAGTTTGAAGGACAGTTGAAAGAGATGAAGGAATGTTTGACCAAGAAGATAGCCGAATGGCAGAGTTGCGCTCAGTGATCGCAACCGATCATAGCGTCGCACAAAGTCAGGCTTGGCTAGGACGGCGACTTGCTCCGCGTGTGAAGAGAGAGGCGAGACTTGAGACCTGGAAATTGCAGCACGATGTGAGATGAAGAGCGAGGAGCGTTCCGGCAATGCGGCGAATGAGGGCCAAGGTGCAATATCTCAGCTAGGTAGTGACGGTAACAGCGAGCTCGAAGACAGTGTGTATCCCAGTAGCCGGCTACGAGATGGTGAATGCGGGCGACTGGAAGGTGTGAGGATGTATTGTAGCGGAGACGTGGTCGAAACAAATGGCGATGCTGCGTTGCGAGAAAGACAAGAGACGATGCTATGGCGTAATTACGATGCGAGTGAGGACGAAGAGAAAAGGAAGCGAGGAGTACGCCGCGAGACAGCAAGACAATGCTAGCGTTGGTGTTGTCGAAGATGATACTTGATGATGATCGTGATGGTGTTGGTGTTGGTCGAACGGAAATATGCACAGCGACACCGAAACGCTCTCTTTTCCTGTCTTTTTGCGGAGAAGCAGACACTGCTGAGCTGCCCCCGACTGAGCCTTGTTTTCATCGCCGTCGCCTTCTCCTGCCACATTTCTTGCGACAAACAGCCAACTGCATTCACTCAGGACAGCAGCAAAATACAGTGAAATTCAATTTTAGCTTTAGGAAATAAACATACACAAAAAATCCGAGTTGGACTGCGCTCTACTGTCGGTCGACAATTCCGCTGCATTGCCCAAGCCTGTTAAATATAACACCGCTGACAACCACCGCGCCTGGGCTCCAATGCGGTTCTCGCCCGGATCAAGCGCGTAGCGAGGCGCGTCGCGTAAAGTGCTCCTTCCTGTCCCTCAAGCCAGACGCTGACAGACACAGACAGGCAGACGGAACAGCAACAGATGCGAGACGAGAGAATGCGGGGTCCATATTCGTGAGAGCATGCAATGCCGATGAAACTACTACTAATGATACAGTGAAGATGATGGTGCGATTCCAGTTCAAAAGAGATACGAGAGTGGAAGAATAGCGAGAATACCGGCCTGAGCGACTGCAGCGTAAAGCGTTGGAGAAAGGTGAGAAGACACTAAAAGACCCTTGACTAAAAATGAGATTAAGAATACGCCCTGGCCACGGAAGAGAGCTTGCTCGTTCACATGGCCAGCCGGAGATGAAGAAAGTAGAGCGGGAGGATGGGCAGCGGGGACCGATCACGAGCTGAAGGTCTGGCCCTCGACGCCGATCGATGCCAGCAGTCCGTTCAGGTAGTCTTGCGCGCTGGCGTCGTGGCTCAGATCTCCGCTGTCGTTGAGCATCTGCTCGAAGCTGTTGTTGCCCGACTCCAGCATCTTGCCGCCCATGTCGAAGCCAGCGGGCGAGAGCAGCGGCAGGCTGTGGTTTGCGTTGCCGCCGGGCACCATCAGTCCCAGCGCCGATTCGCTGTGACCGCCAACAGCCGCAGCCATGCCTGCAGAGCTCATCGATGCACCGTTGACATGTGCCTGGTTGAAGCTCATGTCGAGCGGAGATGGCAATGCGCTCGCGAGCGGATTGCCTTGGTTGGCCCAGTGCCTCTCCAGACGCTCCTTTTGCATCCTGGCGTCGTCACCCGTGTTGAGCGGCGGAGGCTCGCACAGACCGGCGCCCATCTGTGGGAACGGCGTGATCGGCGTGTGTACCGCGCGTTGCTGGATCGCGCCCCATGCAGCCGGCGTCGGACTCAGGGCGGCGGGCGACACCTGCGGGTGCGGGCTCAGCATGGTACCGTTCGGTGTCCTCTGAGCGTTGAGGTACGACTGGGCCGGCGGGATCGACAACATCAGGTTGGGCTTGGTCATCGACAGGCCGCGCTTGCGCAGCAGCGTAGGCGCTTGAACATGAGCGTTCGAGCCCTCCTTTGGAGCAGGAGCTTTGAAGCCGAAGCTCGGTTGCGGCGACGGCTGAGTGTGGATCACCGAAGGTGGTGGCTGGGCATGGCCAAAGCCACGCGCGGCGGGCGCGCCATTGAGCGTGTTGAGCTGAGGCTGCTGCTGATGGACCATGGCGGGGTGCAGCTGAGCAACACCGGCGTGCGGGAAGCCGGGCGTCATCGGCGACAACCCAGGAGCACCACCCATGTGAAGGCCGGCGCCGGCGTGCAGCAAAGGCGATGCCAGAGGCGCGGCCCGACCCAGCGGCGAAACACTGGGACCTGCAGTGAGGAGCGAGACGGTGGGGACGCCTGGACTAGTACCGAGCGACTCGACACACTCGAGGTCCCAGGCGATGACAAGCACGACGTCACCCACCTTGCTGCCAGGGCTCAGGCTGGAACCAGCGTCGTTGAGCAGCGCAGGTGCGCCCTCGCGAGCGGCTGTAGCAGCAGAGGCTCCAGCAGCACCTTCACCCGCTACCACCAGCTCTTGGATGATGGTGACACCCGAAACGGCCATACCAAGCGCAGCACGCTCGCTTGGCTCTTTGCCGAAGGACTGAAGCCCATCTCGTCCGCCGTAGGCGTTGACAGGGTGGTTACGGCTGAGGAAATCGGCCCAGAAGTCGGTGGCGAAGGGAGCCTGGTGGCACCAGCGGTGACGCAAGCTGCCGTTGGACTGGTTGTTCGCATCCAGGGGCGTGCGAGGCGAGACGGGACCGCTCGACGTGCCCGACACGGGGCTCAGCGAGGTGACGCTGCCGTCGCTCTCGCGGCGCTGGATGTTCTTGCTCTTGACAGGTGTGGAGGAGGTCACGTCCTCCTGCGACGGCGCGGTCGAGTCGACTTCAGAAGCCGATTTGACGTTCTCATCCGCAACAGCAACAGTGCCGGCCGCCGTGCTGGTGGGGTTGGTCTCGGCGCCGTTCCTGCCCGAAATCTTTCGGGGAGCGTCGAGCGGCTCCACTAGCGACAAGACACGCTTGCCATGCGAGTAGACTGTAGTGACCGAGGTGAGGCGCAGATCCTGAGCCGATGTCAACGAGAGCTGCGTGCTGAAGTGGTCGTAGCGCGGCATCATGACATCGTGGCGCGGAACAGAGAGCGGCACGTGGACGTGCAGGAACTGGCAGGGCATGTGGTGGTACATCTCGGCAAGACGGGGGAAGCGGAAGTGACCGACACGCACCGAATCCAGCGTCATCTGAGGCAGGCAAGACTGGTTGTTGGCGTAGGTGGACATCGAGTTGCGGTCGAGGTTGGTATAAACGTGCTTCTCGTCGCCGGATGAGCAGTGCACCCACATGGAGAAGCTTGCAGGGAGGATGGGGCACGGCGTCTTGCCACTCGTGTCCTTGGCGCCGGTGCGCTGAGGCAGGTGGAGATCGTTGAGTCCCGATGTGATGGCGTGCGTAGCCGAGAGAGGTGGAGCGCACGGCGAGAGGGGGCTGGCGAGACCCTGACCGCCAGTGAGACCGGGGGTATAAGGAGAGAGGAGACCACCGCTTGCACTATCCATCGAGAGCATTGGATAGCCGCCTCCAAGACCGCCGTAGCCGTAGCCGGCGAGCGTCTGCGCGTACATCATACCGCCAGCGGGAATGTAGAAGTCCTCCTCCGTGGTGGGCTCTGCGATGAGCTGTTGGAACTCAGGATCGCCCTTGCGGATGTTCTTGAGCACCTGGATGTGACTCGAGACCTGCTTTCGAGTGCGAACCTTGTTGGTCTTACGCTCGATATAGTCGGCGATCAGCTCGTTGCGACCACAAGGCTTGCCGTGGACCAGCACCTTTCGACGACCGAGTTTGGGGATGAGGCGAAGTGCTGTCGGTGGAACAAAATCGTGAACCGGCACGAGATTCGAGTGATAGAGGGAAGCGGGATGGGGATTGATGGTGGTAAGGAGAACGGAAGGAAGGACGGAGCAAAGATGGGAAGGAGGACAAAGGTGTCAGTCAGTACATGTTCAGGTTATGAACGTGGGGAAAATGTTCACAAGACGCCGCACGGAATCGCTGGGAATCCTATTCCGCAACCTCAGCGCTGGAGCTGTGGGTCGTCCATGGAGGCGATTGGCATCGCCGCAACCAGCGATGCAGTTTTGGCTTTGGGAACCCGGCAGTGATTAAGGTTTCAAGCACCTCGGAGCAAGGATGAAGGTGTTGGTCGAGAGGCGCTCGGCGTTCTTGAGACCAAATCCGAACGCGCCAGCTCGGTCAAATACAAAATTCCGAATTGAATCATCTCAACGCCCGCGAGCGTTCCTAATTCGGACTTTGAAATTTGACCGAGTCGCGTGCCCCTGGAAAGCCTGTCTGACGCTGGATCGACTGCCACCCATTGCTTTCTTGCACTTCCAACAGCGCCAGCAGAAGCAGTGGATCATCCATCGACAGCCCACAGGCTTGACTTTGAGCAACATTCTGGAGGTGGACGATGAAACTGGAACCTGGCGGGAACAGAGCGACAAAGAGAGACTTACCTTCCCAGAATGCGACCTCGACGTCATCAGGCCATACGTCTTGGTTCTTGCCGTTGGCGTTGGCGCTGTCGTTGCTGGCAGACGCAGACGCCTTGGCGGGGGTCGACTTGTCGTTCGACGCTCTTCTGGCGAGAGACGACTGCGACTGTGCCCTCTGCATGGCGTCCGCCGGAGCACGTGGTGGCGCACTCTTGGGCGCGTGTTCGCCGTTGAAGCCTGGCAGCGCCAAGCTGGCGGTAAGGTTGGAAATGTGATCTGCGCGGTCCATGGCCGTAAGCGAAAGACGCCGAACTCGGCTGGGAGAAGCGGACGACTGTACCGAAGCCGGCGTCTCGAGCACGCCGCCTACACTAGAGCCGACAGAGTATTGGGGCTGCTGCTGATAGGCGTACATGTTGGGCGGAGTCTGTTGAGGCAAGAAGTGCTGGTTTTGCGCCATGTGTTCAACGGTGCGTTCGGGTGTAGCGTCCACCTGAGATGTACGACGTCGCTTAGCATCCTCGGCGAAGCCTGCCAGAGGGGTAGGCGTTGGGCTGTTGCTCGACGACATGCTCACGGTCAGCCGCGGTGGAGACATGAGGAAGCCGCTTCCGGACGCGTCCTGCATGCTTGCGCTCGTGTCGGCTGCCATGTTGGGAGCGTACGCGAACGAACCGAATGCGTCGACCGAGATGCTCATGCTCCTTGGACCGGCATTGAGGCCAGTAAAGTTGCCGTACTCGGCCATAGACGAGCTGGAATCGGACGACGGCATCAGAGGCTGGATGCTGTGACGACGACCCGAGTTTGAGTCGGCGCGGACGTGGAGCATCGAACCGAAAGCGGCCGAAGGCTGCGATGTCGTGGGACGCTTGCCGCCAAAGAAGGAGCTGCCGTCTCCGCTTCCAAAGGCAAGCTGCATGTCGGCATTCATGCCTTCAAAGTCGAGCGCGGCAGCAAGGGACTGCGCATCGCCGCTCATGTCTGCGTCCATGATGCCGGGCGCATTGTGGGCAAAAAGGAGGCCCGAATCTGATGTGTCTCCACCCATGCTGTACTCGTTGCGCTTGGTGGCAGAAGCAAATGCTGCATTGACAGCAGTGATGGACGTCGAGTCATGGTGGAGGCGATCTGCCTCATCCTGTTTGAGGTTGGCCATGTCGTTGTCAGGTGTGCACAAGAGCGAAGAGGACGAAAGCGTCGAGTCGGAGTAGGTAGGCGATGGGAAAAGGTGGTGAAGTCCTCCTGTAGGAGTACTAGATTGAGCAGTTGACATTTGCGCTGCCGCCCTGCTATTTGAGCTGGACTCTTTTGATGTCGGATGTTGCCCGTTGGAAATTTGGACGGGCTCGAATAGCTGGCGATCCTCACAGCTTTCTGGACCTAGGAGAGAATCGATGCGAAGGTGGTGTAAGACTGTCGCTGTGGGAAGACGCCAGGAAAGGCAAGTCGGTTCAATGAGCGTTGGTGGCGTGTCCGATGGGGAGAGATTGCGAGCCTAGTGGAGTAGAGGGAGTGGTATCAAGCAAGGATGGAAGGTGAGATGGAGAGGGACGCTAGTGGTGGCGAGGAGTAGCCTCACGGTGTTGGCGATGGAAGATTAAGATGAAGGGGAGAACAGATAGATGAGGGAAGAAGGAAGACATCGACAAGGGGGATCGACGACAAGCATACAGCCTTATAAGGTGGAATGGAGGTTGCTAGGACAGAAATGTCTCGAGCATCAATCCATCTGAGACCGATGTCGATCGTGAGACTTACTGGGCAGATGACGACTGAGGGGCAGCAATCTTGCGCTGACGTTAGTGCCCAGGCGGCCTTGGTCGAGGAGTCGCGAGGTGTAGAGGCGGAATCGAGCCGGGAGCGGGGTGATGCAGCCGGCAAATACCCGCGACGTCCAACGGTGGCGGATCCAAAGACGGCAGCGTCCAGCAGTGCGAGCGCAAGGGGCTCGGAACGTCTGAATCGGATGGGGCAAAGCTGACAAGGATGCTGCACGGGCAGGTGCTGAGGACTCTCAGACGAGGTTGGTAGTGCTGCTTCGACGGCGGCAGCTTGAATTGCAAAGCAAAAGGGGAGTGCAGAAGTGAAGATCGAAGAGGGGAGAAATGAGGGGTGCAAGGGGTCATGTCAATGAGTGCCGTGTCGTCGAGAGGCCTGTCATGCAGTGGTCTGGATTCTGACAGATCACAAAGCAGCTTTGAGCCCTTGATCGTGCATTGCCGCCACGAAAAGCTTTTCGAGCGCCCTCGTGAGCTTATTCGGGATCGACAGGACTAGACCTCTTGTATCGCTCCGCTGCCACTCAGATACATCAGCTGTGTGCGTGACCTGGTCGAGCAAGACTGCTCCCTCCCTCTGCTGATCCGGACGATGACCCATGGGGTTGCGCCCATCAGTTGCGCTGCACGAGATGCAAGGGAAGCCATGAAAGCAATGATGTCGCGAACGGTTGTCTGATGCGATGCGCTTAGCGCCCCTGCTTTGCAGCTCTCGACGGCAGATAGATCAGAGCAGGATGCATTCAAAGCCCAAAGTGTGCCAGCTGACAGGGTCAGGGAACGACGTCTGCGAACGCGCAACGAAGCAGCATAGCTTGATGGATCGAGGGAAGCGAGGAGTCCGGATCGCAGAATGGCAGTCGTGCCAAGACGGAGGAGGAAGCTCGCACAGGCAGAAGTCAAGGTCGCTTGCAAAGCATCGATGGACACCTGCTCGCTTGCGCTGCGTCTGTGACCAGGTGCCGAATGGTCGGACGCCACCAACCGAACGTAAAAGAGCTGCAGGAGGAGGTCGCACCAGAGACAGAGAGCCACGAGGAGCAGGGAAACGATACATCACAAAGCGGTGCAGGTGACGAATGCTGCTGCACGTCTGCAGATCCGCATTGGCGAGCTTGGTCATGCAGAATCAGGGGTCCGACGGTGGGACATTTACCGCTGCGATTTGACCCCTTGTGCATCGACGCGCTGCGCATCATGTGAATGTGGACACTTTCATCCTGCCGAGGTTCTGGATCCGACCGCACACAAAAGACACCAGATCCCGTCCGACACCCTCCGTTTTGGATGCAGATCCCGGCAGCCTCCTGCAACGGATGAACACGCCAGATAAGGCCATCGTCCAAGGAGTCGACCAAGCTGGGAACCATGAGAAGACAGTGGCACGCTGTCGCGTCGCATAGTCTCTCGCTTGGTGTCGCCGTAAGTGAGCGACACGACGAGCGCTGAACGCCGATCAGTCAGGCACGTATGTGAGACGAGGGACTGCAGACCATCGACAAGAGGGGCATAAAACCACATCGGGAGAAGGATCAGAATGGTGGTGACGGGACCCGCGGTAGCTGCCTCAGGCCGAATTGATCAGAAGCCAGGGGTCTTGAGATGAGACGGCAACGGCACTGGCAGCGAGGAACAAGGAAGTACGCGAGCGACAAAGGCGACGAACCGAGGAGGCTGAATCCTTTGCCAAGGAGCGATGACCAAGCGGCCAGACAGCCGCTGAGCAGCAGCCACACTGACCGCAGAAGACGCCGCACACTGGTTGTGATCGGGACGGAGATCAGCTCGTCTTGGTGGATATGGGTAGCGTCGGGCTGGCTGGCTGACTGGCTGGCTGACGGGCGACAAGTAAGGGGTCGGCGGCTATGGCAACTTGAAAAAACTGACTGAATGCAGACTTCCAGCCAGAATTGACAGTCGTGCTGTCACTCTGAGACCAACACTTTTGGGCGCCTCCTTTTTCCTGGTCACTCCTCGACCGACGCGTTTCAGGCGTGGCTCGAGGTGTGACCTGCTGCGAAAATGGATTTCGACCTTTTTTCTTTCCAGGTTGAGAGGGAAAGGCGGTGGCAGCTTAGCAACGAGGACAGGCAAAGCAATCCCTTGCATATCGCTTGCAGGCATGTATGATACGGTCGCTGAGGCGTGCCTTGTCCTCATCTGGTCGCCTGCCCCCTGATGGATGCATGCGAAGCGTTCCATGGATCCTAGCATCATCGCCTACAACGTAGTGTGCGAGATGATCAGCTTCTTCGCTTACGTCGAGCTCAGAATGCATGTCATTCCTCCCCTGACCTCTCCCTCGTTGCGAAAATGAACAGCATCGCATCGTCGAGGCCAGCTTTGTGCTGTACCTCGATCGCTTGTTTCGTACGCGATCGAAGCCTTGGATTGATCCGATCGCCGCTGCGCCATCATCCCTGTTCTCAGCGCTCGCTTCTGCATCACATGGCACCGTGCTCGCCCTCTGCGGGGTCCGCTTTCGATCGCATACGATCCGTGAGGCCGATCCTGCCACGTTCCGGGACATCTCTGGCGATCGCCTCGCCGGCCATCGTTGTCCAAGCGAGACCAACACTGCCTGACCTGGAGATGGAGTGTTGATCTCGTCGATGGCAGCGCGTCGGGACGCGCAGGCTTACGACATACAGCGTGACCTTGGCCCCAGCATCGTCGCGTTGCCTCAGCTGCACTCGCTTATGTCGGAAGCTCCTTGCCTGGCTGATGCGCAACGGACTGAACATGGTCCCCGACTCTGATCCCGATCATGCGCGATCCGCTGACCACTGTCATCTGGGACAGGTCAGGTCAATTGATGGCACGTCATCACTTACCAGTAAAGAAGGATGGCGATAGACAGCGACTGCGTAACAAAGAGGTGCTGTGATCTGGTCGAGCCGTCACGCCAAAGCGTAGAAGTCAGAGTCGTACGTCGATTCGTGCGTCTGACTCTGGACACGATTTGTGGATGATCGGGCTTGTCGAGAGATGTCGAGGACGACGATTACGTGTCGGTGTTGATGCACAGAGGGAAGACGATCAATGTAGGAGGTGTGGCGGGAAGCAAGGGGTCAATGATCACGGGCATCAGATATGTACGTGTACAAATGTTTGTGGCAAGCAAGGAGGCCCGGACCGAGCAATGTCAGGAGAAGACTTCAGACAGTCCGTTTGCCAGATCTTGCTCCGCTCCATGCGCTTCGAACGCATCCTCGAACAAGCGAACGGGAGTCACGGAAGATGATTATTGCTTTCTTGACAAGGAGCGTCGAATGGACTCGCCGGTCGATGGATGCTCATCGGGAGCGTTCAGATCGGATGTGGACTAGCCAAGTTGGCCACGGGCCGTTCAGGAACCTCGGTAACGATGAAGTAGCTGGATAGGGCCGGCAAAATTCACTCTACCTCTGATAGGTCTCTCGTATCATCATCTTTCGAGCTTCGTTTGGAAGCTTCTCGTCCGTCTCGTAAGCAAAAGCGCACCCTCAACCCTCAAGCTTCAATCGACACACCTGTCGAGAAAGGAAAGGTATGGGTGGTCGTAGCTGTGGCTGATGACCCTTTGGTAGCGAGAACAGATCCAAACGAGCTGGAAGCCGAAATTGACAGCTTGAAGAATAAAAATCGGTACATTCCTCGCTCCAGCGAATCTCAGACATTCTTGTCTCGCCAACGTATCTTTCCGATTTGCCATGAGGGCAGGCGAGCAAAGCATGTGCTTTTCCTGACTCTTGCGTTCATCTCTGTCGTCAGATCAGGTGTCTGGCAGCTTCTCGCGTCGTGTTCTTGACGGAGACAACCGTACGCTCTGCGTCTACCGATCTTGACTCGCGGGACCGGAGAAATGACTGTCTCGGCCTTGCATCACAAGTCAGAAGGGGATATCTCGTGAGGCATAATCACCTGTACGTTGCCCTATGTGCGGATTCGAAGAGTCTCATCGAGATACTGCCTCACACATTGAAAGGGATCGGTGGCGCAACGGTGTCTTGCCGCTTTGACGTTAGCGTGAGAAGCACGCGTCACGCGAGATGCTCTCGTTCGATTGCCCGAGATCTGTCCAGTTGAGACCTGGGCTGGAGCTGTCGGCCGCAGATGGTTGAGATCCGACGGAGATGCGCTGTAGGCGATCACGATGACGGATCAGTGGACTATCTTTGTCCCCACGAAAGCTGTTGCTCAATCGAGCTTCTTTTTGGTGCCTCAATTTGGTGTGCCTTTTATTCAGCGGCACGATATTCACTAGATTTCCACCCACCCGCGAGAGTCTGACTTCGACAACGATTACACTTCTTGCCCTTGTCGTTGCAAAGTGTCGATCGACACTCGGCCGCCGGTCTTCTGTGTTTCTGACGTAAGACGAGCTTCTGTTGCTGCCTTGCCACAAGCCTAGATGCAAACTTTGGAGCCATCTATGGTTATCACCGATAGCAGAGGACCCCAACCCGATCGCACGCGAACGTAGAGAGCTGCGCAGCGGTGAATGGGGTTGGACCCTGAATTGTCGCGCCAACCCACTTGCTAGGAAGATCCTGGCTCGGCCTCCACCACCATGGTACGCCATCATACGATTCCTTCGGCCGCAACCATGTCATACCTACCACCCATCAACACGCTATGGGACCACGCGTCGCATCCGTCCAAACGTGCGTGGTCTCGGTCGCCGTCGCCCGAACCGGCGCATCATGACTCCACCAACGCGCAGGCAGGACCGAGCACGCAATTGGCACCGGCACGACAAGCTGCCATCCAGCGTCGGCTGGTACGTCAGTCTACGCGAGGCGATCATCTTCCCATGCGAACGAGGAGCGCCGAGCAAGCTCGCTTGCTACGCGCGCTGAAGGGCTATCCGCCCATCGGAAGCTCAGCCGATGCGGACCAGCTCAGCGATCTGGAGGAATCCATCGAAGTGGGCAAGTACCAGATGGTACGCTTCGGTGAGCGATACATCGTTCAGATCGGTCGCCGTCGGACGATGCGCGAGGAGGAGCTTTCGAATGAGGAGGACGACGGCAGAAGGGCTGGCATATCTGCGGTAGACGCCGGGTTGTCGATCGGCCCAGAGGGCGGAGTTCTGACGGCGAACGAAGACGCGTCGCTGCAAGCAGAAGGAGGGGGCAATGAAGGTGCTACCGGCCCATTCGTCGGAGGACACACTGGTCATGCACAGGCAGAATTCAACCAGCGACAGATCGCAGAGGCAGAACGAAGAGCACGAGACGCTGAAGCGGGAGCCAACAGGGCTGCGGCCGCCGCCGAAGCTGCGCGCAGTCAAGCCGAAAGACAGGCTGCTTTCCAAGAGGAGGAAGATGCGGTGGACCTCGATGGCGACGTCGAAGATCTCGACGAGGGCGATGACGAGGTCGACTTTGACTAGCTTTGCGATCAATCATCGTTGAAAGCTCGAAACAAAACGCCTGCCCATCACACACATTGTACAGTACACATACCCAGCTCCTGCGCTCCATCATTCTGTCATTGACCTCGTGTCATCAGCTCCACCATCGTCGAGTCGCTGGATCGCATTGCGGCCCTATCCTGGCTGCAGAACATACGTCGAGTCTTGCTGAGGTTGAATGGGCGTCTCGCAAACAGCGTGGGGAAGTGGGCGCGTCTGACTCGGGCGAGAATTGTTTGAAATTGGAATGGGCGGCGGTGTCGCATGGCTGATTTGGCGGAGAGACGCACAGACCGACGAGACCTGTCTCGCCAAATTGGCTGTGTCAAGATTTGGAAATCGGTCAGCCCGAAACTCGGCCAAAGCCATCCACCGCCTTGAGCCAACTCCACACGCTCACGCTCACGCACATCACTCTCTCCCTCTTCTTCAGTCATCGCCATCCGACTCTTCGGCTCTTCCGCTCCTCGTGGTCTAGAACAACATCCTTCTCCGAACATTTCGGTCTACGAATCCCACATTTGGCATCAGCTTCACGACCCAGCAAGTGATTATCAAAGGGCCGCAAGAAGATCCACACCCTACCTTCGGCCCTCATTGCTGCTGCACTGGACGCTGCGACACTATCTCGGTCTGATCACTGCATACGAACTGGAAGAAACCCCATTGCCAATCTTGCCCTCGAATCATCTCATTTCGCCGTCAAGATGATCTTGCTCGGCACCGAAAACATCATCATCCGCGATGTCTTGACAGAAAAGTTCGAAAAGTAGGTTGAATCCCGCACTGTGGAATGGTGTCATTGATTGGTAGCAAGACTGACAGATCATGATGATGACTTCTTCTCTCGTCGACCCAACAGACCCGCATCAGTTGACCAAACTTTCACCGACTTTGACGGCGTAGCCTACCACCTGGAATCCACGAGCAAAGCAGGCCCGCTGACACTCTCGATGGACATCCGATGTTGGTCCGAGCTGGTACAGGCTGGTGCACTCGACGTGCTCAAGCGCGAGTACGGGTCGTGGATCCGAGACTCGGTGGAACCGGAATACAGCGTGACGCTCGAATTCGACTATGCCAAAGTGCCAGCTGCGGGGCCGGAACGCGATGCGCTCATCGCCAGCGTCTCGCTGCTGAAACGCAACGCCATGGCAGCACCATTCGAACGCGCATTTGCGATGCAGAAGAAGCTGGAAGAGGAAGCTGAAAGCACGGTGCCCAGCACGGGGACGGAGATCATGCCGATCAACTACCGAGACGACGAAGCGATCTACGTGATCCCTTCAGCGGATCGTGTCACGGTGGTGTTTACCACGACGTTCAAAGAGGAGACAGACAAGGTGCTAGGCAAGGTGTTTCTGCAAGAATTTGTGGATGCACGCAGGCAACCATCGATCCAGAATGCGCCGCAGGTGTTGTACTCGAATCGCGAACCTCCGCTCGAGGTGCGCAACGTGGCCGGTCTCAACAAGGGCGACGATGTGGGCTACGTCACGTTTGTGCTGTTCCCGAGACATTTCAGCAACGCCGAGGTGATGGCGGGCACCATCTCGAGGATCCAGCTGTTCCGCGACTACCTGCACTACCACATCAAGTGCAGCAAGGCGTACATGCACAGCAGGATGCGTCACCGTGTCGCCGAGTTCCTCAAGGTGCTCAACAGGGCCAAGCCCGAGCTGGCGGAGAAGGAGAGGAAGACGGCTAGCGGTAGGACGTTCCGCCGCGCGTAGACTATGACTGGCAAAATGTTGAATAAGAAGACGCTTTTATACTAGGAAGGGTGTCTGTGGCTCACGGCGCATCTCAGAACGGCACAGAGTGTGGAAGAGCAGCAGTTGCGATGAGGATGTGTGTATAGTGTGTGATGGTATAAGGGGTATCTAGGTGATTCGTATTGACTCTCCCGGCGTCAACTGCTTGACCACGCATTCGCGCTGCATTGCTCCATCCGCGTGCATCTCGCTTATCATCTGGTGTGCCGTCTCCAACGAGAAAACTTGTCTGCTTAATAAGCGACCGACAATGCCTTCTCCCTGCTTGTGTTCGTCGTGAGTAGCCAGGACGATGTGCGGGTTGAATACGGGTATCAGATGCAGGATGTTGGGGAAGCCACAAGCGACTGTACCGATGAGAGGGAGGGTTTGACGGTCGAAGCTGTGGATGAGGACTCGCTTGACGGAGTCGTCTTGCGATGTGAGATGGGGTGGGAGGGAGGTAGGGGTGATACCGTGCGGAGAGTAGAGGATTTGGGTTGGGATGGTGGTTGAACAGGAGACTAGGATGCCACCGTGTAGCTTGGACCATGCGGGGCTGACGGCCCAGTCCTTCGCTGGCAGGTGGTCGATGGTGATGCCGTGCGGTAGCACTGAGGTAGCTGGATCTTGTCGTACAGCGATCGACGAGAGATTGACCACTTTCGCGCCAAGGTTTACTTTGATGGAACGTAGTGCGGCGAGAGAATCGTTCGTGGTAAAGATCGTAGCTCTGCGTAACACGGCCAACGACTCTTGATCGGTGATGGTCTCGGGATGCAGATGATCTGTGAATGGATGACTGAAGAGGACCGCATCTATCCGTTCTTTACCAGAGGACTGGGTGTGAAGCCATGCATCGAGTTTAGCGAGGGATGCGAATGCGGAGGGTTCGATACGAGTCTGCCGAGAGAAGAGCGGCGAACCGTCGACCTGTGGTGTTGGGTCAAGCCATGGATCGATGACAAGGTTGCAGAAGTGCGAATTCGCCGGGTTTGCCGGGTGCGAAGAGGTGGGAAGACGGAAGAGCCAAGACGTGTCGCCGTTGAGCTTGTGCAATCCGACGGCTGACATGGTCGTCGACGAATGCGCTGGCTCTGTCATGTAGGCAGCATGACTTTGGCGCAGTGACGAGTTGTATGACGAGGATGATGGTTTTGGTGATGGTGTCGTCCTTGTGTACACAGAACGTAGCTCGGCTCGAGTTGGAAATGCACTTGGGAAGCACTCTGACGTGGGTTGCAGCAACAACCAAAGTGTGTGTGTGCACAGACGCACCTCGCGCTCTGCCGTGTGGAGGCGCGCGACTGAGCCGTGTGACTGTGCGACTGACTCGGTATTGCCAAGATTAAGCTCAGTTTGGCCACATTCCCGCCCCTCGACGCCGGTTTGGCTTGACTCGACAGAGACCCTGCAGTGGGGATCCGAGTCACTCGTCACTACACCAGCCTTCTCGTCGCTGCTTATCTTGTCTCGCGACCATCATCACCTGCCACTTTGTCAAGACCGTCAACCCGACATTGCTACCAATTCGTAAACAATCGTGAATGATGTCAAACCTCCTTCAAAGCGTCCTCAGCTCGAGGCTAGCCAACGCTACTCTTGGCCCAAGCTCCAACGAAGCATCCAGCGACACCCCAACCGAGTCCAAGGAAGGCCTCAACGACTGGGAGGAGGTCGACACCGACGATGAGCTCGTCAACGTTCAATCCACACCTGCCACTGCTGCCGCAACACCACTCGAACGAAGTCGACCTGCCTCCCCCACGCGTGCTCACTCCTCCTCCCGCTTAGCCGTGGAGACCGACACCACCGATTTTGAGAGCGACGTCGATGCTGCTACGTCCTCATCGAAACAGCTGAGCTCGTCCAAGCTTCGCACCACTTCCAGTACGGGCGCAAGAAAACGTTCCTCCAAAGGTAGCAAAACCGACCCACTTCGCGCCTTCACCAGCGAAATCGCCCAACACATCTTCCTCCAGCTCCCCGTCGAATCCCTCACCGCCTGCTCCGGCGTCTGCAAGCGATGGCGTAGATCAGCAACGCTCAACTACTGCTGGTATCGACATCACCAACACCAGTTCTCCGCGGGTTCGTTGGATTCCGCCCTGCCCGCCATTCCTGCTTGGGGGAACGGCGGTGCCAAATGGACCAGAAGAGAGAGCAAGACCGACTGGAAGACACAATTCGGCCGTCAGAAGCGTATGCAGGCAAAGGATGCCGCCAGAGCAGAATCGTTGCCCGGATCGGGAACCGCGACCCCATCCAGGACGCAGAGGTTGCAGGATGCCGGCATCATGACCACGCACGAAGCCAGGATGCAACAGTGGAAGGAGGAATCTGATGCCCAGTGGACCAAGCAGGAGATGAGAGATTACTACAAATCCGGTGCAAAGGGTGGCAAGTTCAAGGGTAAGAGGGAAAAGGGCGGTGTCAAGACGGGCGCGGCGGGCGATGGAGGGTTATGGGAGTAGAAAGTCTTCAGGTGTGTCAATCTTGAATGAGATTCAGCTGAAAAAGTTGCAGGGTTGCCGTCATCGTTTTAAAGTCCCCTCATACCATATGTATTCGCGAGCGCACTCGCACTTTCCTTGTCTGTTCGCAAAGCAATGCTCATTTCGTGACAGATGATCGTGCGTTTCTCTGATGGTGACTTCAATCGAGCATGAGAGCTTTCAATACGACCGTCTCTCTTCATCCATCTCGTTGGTCCCTCCGAGGCTGACATCGTCCATCTCGCCATCGCCGTCCTCGTCGGTCTCGGCTGTGACTTGTGTGTGCTGCTCGGCTGCTTGGGGTTCTGCTTCCGGTGCGGTTGGCACGTCGTCTTGGGACTCGCTCGAGGTGATGATCACTTGAGGTGGTGCAGGCGTGGTTTGTGGTTCGACGGCGCCGTCTTCGGAGGGAGCGGAGGTGGTGATGATGGGCGTTGGGGTGGAGGGATGTGCTTCTGTGGCGTCGAACGGTTCGGTGCCGGCAGCTTGCTCTGTGAGCGGTGGCACGTCTTCCGCGGCGAACGGTGCTGGCTTTGTCGCAACTTCTTCTTCTTCTGTCGCCTTTGGTGTAAGAGCGTCCTTCTCCAGAGGAGGAGGAGGAGAAGTGGCAGTGCCTGCTGCTGCTGCTGCTGCTGATGATGATGCTTCAGCTGCTACTGGGGTCGCCGCTGCAGCCGACGTAGATGCACCCTGCTGCTGCTTACCCAACACCCTGTCGATGCTCTGCCTCACCGTGCTCGCGTTCGGCGGATCCTGATCCAGGTAGAAAGCCGAGATCCCCACCATCTTCTTCTGATCGTGACACGCAAAGATCCAGTGCGGCAACACAGCCGGAATGCTCAACTGCATCGCTTTACCATACCCCTGTCCCTGCGATCCTTGCGGTGCATTCACATCCCCCGGATTCCTCGCATCAGTGCAGACGTAATGCGTCGTGTCAATCTGGATCCTATCGTGCCACTTCGCCTTCATGTTGCCCAACGCCTTTTTCGCCGCTTCGAGCATCTCTGCGTCGTGTACGTGACCGAAGCAGACGCTGATTCCCGAGGTATCGTTGATGGTGTGCGTACGTGTTTTGATGACGGGAGAGGAGAAAGTACCGGCGGTCGTCTTGAGTACGAGGTGGAAGGTGTACTCTGCGTTGAGATCGAGACCGGACAACTTGGTCGAAGTGTTGTGCAGAGGATTCGGGATGGGTGCCAACCTTTGGTTGTTTCGATAGATGTCGAGAGAAAGCAGCGTCGCAGTCGCCAATGTCAGTCGATCCCATTCCAGCGTCACCGAGGTCTGCGTAACGTTCCGTAGTCTCAGCGCTGGCGCCTTGGGTGCCTGTTGGCCAAAGGTGTGAAGGATATCCTCCTGGAGCTGGTCGAATTCGTCCTTCTGGCGTCGTTCCTGCTGATCGTTCCGCATCACACGGATGTTGACGACGCTGCCAGAAGAGACACCTGGCGGGAGGAGAAGCGAAGGAAACTCGATAAGCGAAGCCTTGTCGCCGATGAGAATGGCCATGCCGGCATCGAGCTTGCCGACGGTAAAAGTGAAAGAGTCATCTGAGCTGTTGGACTGCATGGTGGAATGAATGTAGTTGGGTGCGATCTGACCAACGTAGTGAGTCGACATCCCAATATTGTCGAAGAGAGGCGCAAGAGGGGACGAGATGATGATGATTTCAGGTAGGAAGGTGTCGTTGCTGGTGGAATGTCCGAGCGCAGTCTCGAATTGCCAGCCCAACACCGACACACACACACGCGCCAGAGTGCGCTGCAGCCACGCGCCTTGTTTCCGGTTGCCGATGAGCCCGATTCAACTCATAGGTTTCTTCTCACGCACAGACTGTCTGCCAAAATTGAGCAAAGACAGCATTTGCTGCCGTGTTTCCTGTCCTTCGGTAGGGCCGATTTCCGAATTGCATTCGACTTCATCGTTGAACATTGCTTCCTCGCTTCCTTCCTTCACTTCATCACGGCGGGCGTCACGGACAGGAATGATCACATTCATCCCGCTTTCGGTACCTTACGCTGCTACTGCTGCTCCAGCGGCAGCAGCGGAAGGGTCCCGAAAACGAGTGCGAACCAAGCTCGAATCCGATGCGACGACCGACAACGAGCAAGAGCACCCACGCGCTCTCGCCTATTTGTTGCAGATGGACGATGTGCGTGTCCTCATCGACTGCGGATCTACCGAAGACTTCCTCTTTCATGGTACGTCGGCTCAACTCGATGCTGACTCGGATGCTGATGCACCATCATCGCAGCAGCAGCAACAACAACAACCCGAATCGTCATCCATGGCACAGCAGCGACAGACTTCGGATCTCGATCTCGCCCAACTCAAAGCAGCTCCACTCGATACGCTGCTGCGACAACTCGCGCCTACGATCAATCTCGTGCTTCTGTCTCACTCTTCGCTCGATCATTTGGGTCTCTACGCCTACGCTCACGCCAAGCTGGGCTTGCGATGCCAGGTCTACGCTACGATGCCCGTTCAAAGCATGGGCAAGCTCACCGTGCTTGAAGCCATCCAGACATGGAGGAGTGAGGTAGACATCGAAAACGAAAGCAAGAACCCATCCTCATCGACACGCCGCTGTCTCGCTACAGTCGATGAGGTCGAAGACGCATTCGAAGAAATCAAGACGGTCCGCTACATGCAACCCACTCATCTCGAGGGCAAATGCGCCAGTCTGACGCTCACAGCCTACAACGCGGGCCACTCGCTCGGTGGTGCCGTGTGGAAGATCCGCAGTCCCACCTCAGGCACCGTCGTCATTGCGCTCGACTGGAATCACAATCGAGAACGTCACCTCGACGGCACCATCCTGCTCTCTTCTTCTGCAGCTGCTCCCGGTGCACCTGGCACCGGAGGTAGCGCTTCCGACGCCGTACGACGCCCTGACCTCCTGATCACCGAGATCGAACGCGGTCTTGTCGTCAACACCCGCCGAAAAGATCGAGATGCAGCGCTCATCGATCTGGTACACACCACCATCCAGGCGGGCAACTCGCTCCTCTTCCCCATCGACGCCTCGGCACGTCTGCTCGAACTCATGGTGTTGCTCGATCAGCACTGGGCCTACGCCTACCCTCACGCCCGCTTTCCGCTGTGTCTCATCAGTCGCACCGGCAAAGAAGTCATCGAACGATCGCGCACCTACATGGAATGGATGACGCGCGAATGGGCCACAAAGGCAAACGAAACCATCGAAGCGGAGCAGGATCAACAACAGAACAACAAACCACAACAACAGCGCAACGCCCGCGGCGGCATCCGTGCAGCCGCTGCGTCTTCACCTCTCGACTTCAAGTACGTGAAAGTGTTCCCGACGCTGCAAGCGATGGACGAAGCGATACCGCAGGATCAGGCCAAGGTCGTGCTCGCCGTGCCCCCGTCCATGACCCACGGGCCTTCGCGCAAGCTGTTTGCGCGCTTCGCACAGAATCCGAACGACGTTGTTGTGCTCATCTCGCGCGGCGAACACGGCTCGCTCTGCCGTCAACTGTGGGATGCATGGAACACGAGCCAATCGAAGGGGTTTTCGTGGTCGCAGGGTAAGCTTGGGCAAGCGGTGGTGCCGAGCAAAACGTCGCTCCGGTTCGAACTCAAGAGCAAAGTCCCGCTGGAAGGCGAGGAGCTTCGAGCGCATCTGGAGGCAGAACAGGCGGAACGGGATCGGCTGGCGCAGCAAAGGGCGCTGCTCGCTCGTTCGAGGAGAAGGCTGGAGGCGGACGAGGATGATTCTTCCGACTCTGATTCGGACGGTGGCGAGGAGGGCGAGAACGAAGACGTCTACGACGTAGCTGGTGGTGCGGGCGAACCCGGTGGAGGAATGATCCGTAAACGCCCCTACGGTGTAGCGTTCACGGAAGCGACCAACACTGGCGGTGCTGGAGGTCAAGCCGGTGCAGGTGCCGACACCAACCAGCTCTCGTTCGACATCTACCTCAAAGGCAACGCCAGCCGCGCCACCTCCTTCTTCGGCTCGAAAGCAGGCTCTGAAGGACCGTTCGGCCTCGGCGTCCGCTACCGCCTCTTCCCCGCCATCGAACGCAAACGCCTCGTGGACGGCTTCGGCGAAGTCACCGACATCGCACGCTGGCTCTCGCGCCGCCGCGCCGTCGAAGCCGCCGAATCCGCCGCCGCCGACCCGCTTTCCGAAAACGCGACGCTCACCGCCGAAGCCAAACGCAAACAGCTCGCTGCCGAGGAGGAAGCGCGCCAAGCAGCCATCCCGTCCAAGTACGTCACCGAACACGTTGCCATCAAAGTCGCGTGCAAGGTGGCGTTCATCGACATGTCCGGCCTCAACGACGGCCGGGCGTTGAAGACGCTCGTCCCGCAGCTGCATCCAAGGCGGCTGATCATGGTGAACGGCGACGCGAGGACGAATGCGGACATGTTGGGGGTGCTGGAGGCGATCAAGTCGCTGACGCGCGACGTGTTTGCGGCAAGATGGATGCAGAGCGTCGAGATTGGGCAGGTGACGAACGCGTACACGGTGCAGTTGGGAGAAGGTCTGTTGGCGGGACTGGAGTTGAGCAGGTTCGAAGAGTTTGAAGTGGCACATGTGCGTGCGATGGTGAAGAGGATGGGTGAGGATTCGACGCAATCAGTTCCCGTGTTGGAGGTGGAAGAGGATGTTTCCGCGCTGGCTTCTGCGGACGCCGATGACGACGAAAAGGAACTCGCTAAACGCGCGATCGCCTCTTCCCTCTCCACCAACGGCATCGTCCGTTCCCTCCCCTCCTCCATCCAAGCCTCTCGTCTCCTCCCCACCACCACCACCCCCGCCATCCCCGGAACCCTCTTCATCGGCGACCTCAAGCTCTCCACGCTCAAAGCGCTGCTCGGAACATCGCAGTACCGACTTCCCGCCGACTTTGCCGGCGAGGGAATGCTCGTCTGCGCTCCCAGCGCCGTGATGGGTCCGGAGGCGGTGACCGTGTCGAAGCGCGGCAAGGGGAGGATCGTGATCGAGGGGAACGTCACGAGAAACTTTGGCAGCGTGAGGAGGGCTGTTTACGGGTTGCATGCTAGGGTGGCTGGTGGGCAGACGGCGGGGACGGAGCAGGTGGAGAAGCAGGATCGGGAGGGGTAGCCAGGGAAGATGCAACGAGAATTCTTGTTTTGGCGGAGAGATTCGGTGAATGTGCTTCGTGCGGTGAGACGCTGAGTGTGTAAACGTGCCAGCTGGTCTTTAGTGAATCCCGCAGTGCATCGAGACAGCGATTCAGACAGTCCAGTTGTGGTTCCGCGCGACGGATCTGCGCACACGAACGGGATGCGATGCAGAGAAAGGCAACGCATCCTGTTCGTGTCTCTTGTCTGAGTCTGAGCCGAATCGCTCTGTCTTCTTTCACCGAGCTTGTACGGACATGATCATCTCAAACTTCAGTTTCCAAATCAAGGTCCTGTAGAGGGTCTATTATACGCAGCTAATGTATTTCAGGTTGGGCATGGGGTGGCAAAACTGTGGTATCGGTGTTGATGAGTGTGATGGGTGTGGGAAATTGAGTCCCTCGCGGCGTGCAAGAAGTGAAATGAAGTGACGGGACGCCAGTCATGCACGCGATATGCAGAGGCACGCCTGTCAAACAAGATACTGCTGTCCCCGCGATTCATGGTCCCCCTTCCTCCTCGCGTTCTCTTTCTGCGCTCCCTTCATCCTCACTTTCTCTGGAGCTCTCTCTCCATCCTACTTTTCCTCCTCTTCTCCTCTCTGTGTGCTACACCTCCTCACGCCACATCGTTGTTGACACTGTTCGGGCCCAAATCGATGGCTGCAGCCTTCTCCTTATCCTCTCTGCTCTTCTTCACCATACCTGCAGCTGTCAGTCCGTGCTCGGTACCGCTGCCCGAAACCACTGTGCCTTCGTTCTCTGCTGGCATGGCGGTTTGCTTGACGAAAGAGAACTCGGAGGCGTTCATAGTTTCGAGAACACCGATGACGTTTCCGTAGGCGTCTTTGAAGACTTGCTTGGCATCGTCGGAGTCCTGTCCAATGTTGGCCGATTCATACTGAAAGTATTTAAGCAATGTATAGAAGCCGGAGGTAAAGATGGCGGCACAGTAGGGTGCGATCCAATAGATCCAATCATAAGATTCGAAGATTCCGAGGATCGCATTTGGTCCTAGAGTTCGAGCAGGGTTTAGAGAGCCTCCGGTGTAGTTGGTTCCGGCGAGTTCGGCAAGGAAAAGGGCCAGACCGATTCCGACGGGAGCCAGGAAAGTACCGCGATGCTTCTCGGCAGCCAACAAGAAGATCGCAAGGATGAGCTGACAAGTCAGGAAAAATTCCCAGAAGAATCCCTGAGCGACGCCCGTACCGTTGGCAAGTGTCGTCCTGGCGTTCAGCCTCCCCGGCAGAAGTCCATCCGCAATCGCCGCGGCAGCGATTCCACCAAGATATTGAGCGATGGTCAAGTGAATCAGCTGGAACTTTCCCAACGTACCCGTCAAGAACAACGCCAGTGTCACGGCTGGGTTGAACAAACCGCCGGAAACTCGGTAGAAGGTCCAGGCATTGACGGCCAAACTGAAACCAAACCCAAGCGAAGAGTAAAGCAATGCCGATGTATCCACGGTGCCGTTCTGACTCAACGACGTAGCTCCGCCGTTGTTCTGACCTGCAGCTCGGGCGTTGGATGCCTGAGAAGCGATGACAAAGGCAAAGAAGAGGAAGAGGACGGTGCCGACGAACTCAGAGACGAAGGCGATGGCGTTGTTTTTGAGCTCCAATCGACGTCGAAGCGCGGCACGGTAGTGATGACGGTGTTTGTGTTCCTTTTCGTCGACCTGCATGAAGGCGGGAAGCTGTTCTTCGATGAGGATGCTTTCGCGGCGTTCGAGCATGGCTGGTTGGGCGGATTCGCCTTCGCCCAGCGAGAAGATGGAAGGCTGCGTCACCATCTGACGCGGGTTGCCGTCTCCGGTGGGGACGGGCGCTCCAGTGGGTGCAACGGCAAGTCCACCGTGCTTGTGCTCCTCGGATTTCTTGACTCCTGCGGCTTCGGCTACGGCAGTGTCGGTCGAATCGGACTGCTGAGCATTCTTAGCCTGAGCTTTGCGGTCAGCGCTTGTATCGTAGACACCTGTGCCAGCAGCTGGGACCTCTGGGTTGGCTGTGGGGTAGAGGTGGAGGTTGGCAGATGTGTCAGTCCGGAACAGCCCTGTGGTCGTCACCTTGACGGAACGTGTGCACGCGGGTTTGACTGGGTTGGGAGAGCACGCCGACTTTCATGGCGCATCGAGACCATCTCTTCTGCTGCGTATAAGTAGACTTACTCAGGTTAGTGGTGGGAGAGGGCACCTGGTCGTTGGTTGAGGTCGACATTCTCGGAATCGATGGTGCTACCCTGAGGCGCTACGAAGGATGCGGACGAGGGCTCGAGGTTGTCCTGGCGAAGGTGTTCAAGGTGTATAGAAAGGGTCTGATCGTGAGCAACAGTGCTACCTCCCTATGAGAGCTTTGAGGGAAGTAGGTCTCTTTCAGGGTGATGCGAGAGAGGAAGGTATGGTGCGAAGTCAAGGCGTAGCGGACCTCTGTGCTCAATAAGAAGGATTCTTGACCAAATCCTATTCTGGGATACTGCACACGACGAGAGCGACCCTCTAGATTGTCTTTGCTTTCCCCACTCTTTCTTCTGCTCAGGCCCGAAATCAAACCGTTCTGATGGGAACGGTTGAGCTGCTGAATGGTCGACGGAGATCAGACATGGCCTCGCTTGTTCCACCCGCCAAGGCGTAGCCGAACCCATTTCACGAATCCTCCTTGCTGCGCGATGTCCATCTTTGACGTCCGCTGCACGAGAGGACGCCGAGCGACGGGTACGCCAAAAAATCTTTCAGCCGCAACCACGAGCGTGAATCGAATGCCTCTCCTAGTAGCCAAGATGGCGCAAGGACTATTATTACCTCACCTGCAGCCGTCGACTCTGCATTTGACAGTCAAACTCCGCATTTGTGGCTTTTTCCACGCATTTCCGACCTTCCTTGCACTTTTTGCATGATTCCATTCTTCGCGCACAGGAAGAGATTCTCGCACACACCAAGATGAAGACAGCGTCATGTATTGCAAGCGGATCTTGAATGTCTCCAGTCCTTTACCCACTTCATGATCGGACAGCATAGTATCGTCGAGATCGGTCTAGCCCACCACGTCCATGACGGAACAACTGGTAATCTCTTCCCACCAACGCAACAGTCAGGTCCCCACCAGCCACAGCGCCACTTTCTTCCTCTTTCGACTCTGCAAGCACGATCTCTTCGCACTATCGCCGGTCGCGACGTGTTTCATATCGGCTCAGATTGACCCCCCTTGCCATGCACGAGCGTGTGGGAGTCCGAAGATTTCCAAATGCCGCTGCGCCCACTCTCTCACAGACCGCGTGCATGCCACGACGTCATCCTTCCAGAATCGGCGAATTTTTGTAACCGCTGAGCTGCAAGCCCTGAAACATCGCTTCTGACCAGTGCTAAATTTAGAAAGTCATTTCTTCGCCTCGTTCACCAATCTAACACCTTCTGCCTGACGATGAGGATCTCATCGACCCGATGCACCCTCACCATCTCACTTCGTACACCTTGACCACTTACAACGTACCAAATGTCTTGCTTTTGAAATACAAAGAATGTCAATGCAGCCACTTCCTACTCCCGCTCATCCCTTCTGCCCATGCCCACCTAGCAGATCCCTCCCCTCAGCCGCATCCTGCCAGCTCCCATCTCCAGCCGAACCCGTACCCGACCCGCCAGACTGTCGCTCATCCTCATCATCGTCAATGTCGACGATGGCACCCGTGACGGCAGCACCCTTCTTCCCGTCGTCAGCCGAAGCAACCGTAGTATCCGCATCGTCTTCCTCTTCCGGCTCCTCGTCGTGCAGTGCAAAGCGGCGATCACCATCGGTCTCGTCGTCCAGATCATCGCGGTAAGGCTCATCCGTCCGTCCACGGCCGAGCAAACCACGTCCAGCCGACGCACCACCCTCCTGATCATCATCCTCATCATCGGAACCCTCCGCAAACGCATCATACAGCTCCTTGGTCCTTCGCGACTTTTCCCCGCGACGACCTCCCCTCCCCCCAACGTCCAACTCACCCATCGCCACCTCCTCATCATTCGCCAGCGACTCGTACCCACCTCCCCCACCACCCCCTCCACTCCCTCCT